TTCCTCTTGAAAAAAGAAACATTTTTTTCCTCTTCCATTTTTCTCTCCGGGCTTTCGTTTTCGAGATACACGGTGTCAAAACTTTAATTTTTTTTTAGTTTTTCGCCAATATCTTAGGAATCGTTTGAACTACAGGACTGAGCTTTTGTACACACATTACCACTATTAATAGCTACTTTTTCGCACCCTTCTCGAATTCATTGGACGTGCCAGTGGTGGAGATTTTAAGGTATCGTAAGGGTTTTTCCCCCCCTAAATTTTACGCCACTGGAAAAATTGACTTTTGACAGCAAATTCTAAAGCGCCAATGAATTTTACACAATAAGAGTTCTCTTGGTTCATTGCTCTAAAGTCAACCGTTTTCAAGAAAAATGACTTTTTATGAACAAAAGCAAACATTTTGCTAACGTTTCGAAAATTTTTTACATTTTGCATTTTGCATTTTGAACATTTTGCAAGTGCAAGTAACTGAACAGAACATCCGGAGAACGAAATGCATCGTTTATGAAATCCATGTCAATACTATCGAAAAGTTGACCGATAGAGGTGAAGCCGCAGCGGCAGAAAGAAACATGATTAGAAGATGTAATGCGTGCATTCAAGCCAACGGACGTAATTTTGAACAGTTTCTGTAAATTTTACTCGCCAAATTGATAAAAAAAAGTTAAAATCCTATCTGTTGTTAAATTTCGTTAAAATTGTTAATTATTACTACCTATTTTTTGAATTACAAAAGATTTTCGAAACGTTAGCAAAATGTTTGCTTTTGTTCATAAAAAGTCATTTTTCTTGAAAACGGTTGACTTTAGAGCAATGAACCAAGAGAACTCTTATTGTGTAAAATTCATTGGCGCTTTAGAATTTGCTGTCAAAAGTCAATTTCTCCAGTGGCGTAAAATTTAGGGGGGGAACCCTTACGATACCTTAAAATCTCCACCACTGGCAAGTCCAATGAATTCGAGAAGGGTGCGAAAAAGTAGCTATTAATAGTGGTAATGTATGTACAAAAGCTCAGTCCTGTAGTTCAAACGATTCCTAAGATATTGGCGAAAAACAAAAAAAAAATAAAGTTTTATCTCGAAAATGAAAGACCGGAGAGAAAAAATGGAAGAGGATAAAAATGTTTCTTTTTTCAAGAGGAATTTACAGATTTCCGTTGCGACATTTATTTAGGAACACCCTGTACTAGAAAAAATATGGTCTGCAAAACGAACAAATAAGGTTCTGCATACGGAAAAATGGAACAAGCAAGCATAGGAACGAGATAGGACAGACGTTTATTAAGAAAAAATTATTTTATTTTTATAATAGTGACTGCAGTTATCAAACTTCTGACCAAAATATTTCTAAATAATCAGCAATGTAAAATAAACACCTCAAAAGATTAGTATTTTTAATAATTCAATGGAACTTAATAAATTATTAACCATGCTACAACGCAATAATTATAAACTTTTATTAAATAACATAAATTATTTTAGAGCTTTGATAAGGTGTAATGGAATAATAATTAATAAATAACTATTGGAGAGTCCGTCCTTTATAGAGTTTTGTATTTACTACAAATTTATTTAAATTCAATAGTGGTCAATATTTATACCGAGAAATAAGCTAGAGCTACGTACACATAGCGCAAGTAGGTATAGTAAACAAACACTAGGAAAATTTTTATAAATTTTTAACTTTATGATACAAGCAAAACTGCGTAAAAAACATAAGTCTCATAAGTCTCTAATTTATGGCTCATGTCCGAGCTCATGTCACTTTATTTACCCATAAAAAAGACATTTTCCAGTATTTGAATTTATTTTGGTCAATTTTGACATTAATTGTTGTAGTAACTTAGTAGGTATAAAAAAAAATAAAACAAAAATGTGTGTCAAAAAAATCGCATTTCATAGCATTTTTCATTTTAATAACAATGTAATTAAAGTTAAGTAAGTATTTCAATTTGATATTATCTAATACAATTTTTACTTAATTATACCATGCCGTATTCTAATATGCAGTATGTTTCCACAACCGCACAAGAAGGTAGTTAATTCATAAAAATAATGTCTCAGAAGCATAAAAAAATGTTTTTCTTCGAAAGGGCAGCTACCCATAAATGTATAGAAACGTAGAGGCATTTGTAGAAAAAAGTAATTAATATGTTCATACTTAAACATTTAACACAACATATTAAATCATTTTTGAATATTTCTTACCTAAGACCCCAGGAATGTGCCCCGTAAATATACAAGAACAGGTCTTTGTAGGATGTTTACATGTATTTTTTTTATGCTAATCACGCTGAGAAATTTAACAGACATCATTATTTATATTTGTACTTTTCACCTAAGGGCGGCTGCCGCCTTTAGTTATCAGAATCGAAAATATGTACATACAAGTAGAGAAGGTACATCGTATGCAAATATATTAATAAGTAATCTATAGGCGTTGAAAATTTTAACACTCACATGAACGAAAATCGTAATTTGAAAAGCTGTGAGAAATCGTTGCTGTTTTCACACCCGTTTAAAAACTTGTATACAAAAAGTAGGTACTATTTATTTTTATTACATGCTTTTATTTAACTTGTTAGTATGGGTCAAATTCAACCGAATTTTAAAACAGTTATCTCCAACCAATTGAGCTGAAATTTTGCATATCTACTTACACGTTTAGTTTGGACGACAATGCAAGGTGGCACTAAAAAATTGTTTTTAAAAATTTTTTATACTAGAACTTATTTTTATTAGAGATATACCTCCTAAAAACAAAAATCACATCAACCGGTTCTGATTAAAAGCATAGTTTCAAAGGAAATGACATAATAAATAACCTACTATGAGAAGAAATATAAATTATCTAGTAAATTAAAAAGCTTATTAGATAATCTTTAAAAATAGCAAGGTCTTGTAACCATTAAAACAAGTTTTTTTGTGCAACAAGGAATAACAAAATAACACACCATTACTCATTATATAATAGTTGAAAACCTTTTTTGGTAAGAATACCATAACCCTTGTACATATTTATACAAATACACTAATTTACACTAATAAAAAATATTTTTAATACAAAATAATGTTTTCTGTATCTCAGAATACCTGAAAGGATTTAAGGCATATAATAAAAAGGGTTCACATTATGTGAAATTTAACCGACAAATATACAAAAGGTAAAAGTAAAACATATACTTTATGTACTAATTAAGGTCTCATGGGAAAGTTATTTCACTTTTGTATCTTCAATGTGTTAATTAAAATTAGTGTTTACACATTCTAAATGTTTAAATTCCTTTGATAAATTTATATCCTTTGGTAAATGTCCAGAAAAATATGTGCAAAAAACATTAGAATTTACCTAATTAAAGGAATAAACGAACCCTTATTCATCTCACAGAATTAGCTCTTTGTCAATGGTATGTAGGTACACACATATAAATTAAAAATTAGCATCAAACACACGTAGCATATTATATTTGCTAGTAAGTAGGTATATCTTCATTCTTGTCATATACCTACTTACCGGATGTGGTGATAAAACTATTTCCCATTATTTTTTTACCAAACCAGTTTGTTTCAGAAAATTAAAAACAATATGGTATAAAATTAGGTATGTAAAAATATACAAATTCGAATCTTAATTTATAGGATAAAGTAATACTGACCAAGCTATCGTCATCATTCATTTTTTCCTAATCATTTTGGAAGGAAACTATCTTGCTCTTACTACTTCTTGGTTATTATTTCCTTTACAACTATCAATGTTCGAACACATTTGAAAACGCAATTATATAACTTCAACAGGCACAAAAACAAAGATTTTCTAATCAGGGTTAAAAATTTTCAGGAAGAAAAACTGTAAACATCTGTCAAATTTAGCAATTAGTATCACAAACACTGTACATACAGAGCACAAACACAAAACAAACTGGACAGTCAATCAAGTTTTAGACACGCTGAAGTAACAGACGGGATTTAACTTTTAATTTAATATAAATAAATAGGTGTTGAAGTGATGTCTAATGTCTTAAGTCTTTCTCCAACAGCTTTCACCAATGTGACGTCATTTTCAAATGTTTTGTTAGTGAGTTGAAGCTGCCAACAGCAGTTCTCCTACAAACGAAATTAACTAGGAAACGTCAAGTACCAATGATATGACCAACCAACTGGAAGTTGTTATTACACCACTGGTTTTATAAGCTGGGGGGCCATCTGCATTAAAATAATAAAAAGGAATTGTGTATACTAATGTGTCATTTTAATAAACTTTTTAAAATAATTAAAAATTCTGAATGCTGTATAATATTTTAAAATATGTGTTATTTGAGAAAAATAGAAATTTAAGATTACACCATTTAATGAATAAACAGCATTACAATGTAATATGAATTGAAATTTTTCAAAATAATATTAGAGGGAATAATAACGTCCCTCATTGTCAAATATAAAGCTGCTGTGTAACATTGATCTCTATAATAATTGGATGCTAATTGTAATGGACCTACGCAAAAAATCTTACATCCTTCGAAGGCAAAATTGTTGAGGTTAAATCGAAAGCAAAAAAATAATATTCTAAAATATAATAAAGCCAATAATAATATTCTTTGCTTAAATTTCCAACACTAGGCACATATTTTCCTCATGTTCAGGAGATAGTTCGGTTTTCGTGTGCGCTTGGCTTTGCACTGTACTTAATGCACTCTCTTCGTCTCTTCTCTACACAATTTGTCTTTATAATTAAATGCGCAGAATCAAATGCTGCCTAGTGCCTGCACAAAAGCAATTTAGTATTTAGCTTGCTTGCCTATTTTTAGAAGATTCAGTTGTTTTTTCTGGGTTTTTTTCTTCCTTACTATTTTTTCTATAGAGAAATTTAAAAAAGATGTAGATTATTATGTAGATATCTTTGTCAGTACATTTTTCACCAATTAGAAGTTTGTATTTTTAAAACACCATCCATTCAAAGGTATGCTTAATGTTAGATATCGCTTTGACGTAGAATGTACGATATTGACAAATATTTATTTTTTTCTGGGTAATAAAAACCTATAAAAATGAATTGTTAATTGTTTCACTGTCAAAAAGTGATTGCCAAATTTAATAAACTTGGAATATATTCAGTAATAGAAAAATCTGTATATTATTTGCAGCCATATCGTTATTTATCAAGAATTAGAACTGATAAACCTCGTGATAAACATACTGAGTTATTTAAAAGGTAAGGGAACGAGTGACGCTGACGACTGACGAACAAAAATGACAACCTGTTGATTTTGCAATTTATGCATTGCATATAAATAGTGGGGTAGGATGTTAGGTATGGATTGTGCTTTGTCAAAATGTCTAAACGTTACAAGTGATTTATAACATATATAAAAGCACATTTCTGTTTAAAATATTTGATTCAAAAAATATGTAGATGTCTCAATGAAAGACATTCACTTTCAAAATCTTTTGTTACAGTTTGGCTAGACGTATGATGCGGAAGAGCCCTATAACTGTTCAGCAGTGGGTAGATACTTTGCCACCTGCTCATATAACACAAACACCACCATCAAATATGTTTAACGCACAAGTTAAAAATCCTCGACAGTATTTAAAAAGGGACTTGTCGTTGCAGTCTGATGATGGATCTAGTCAATGTTCTAGCGTAGAGTCAGTTCTAGAACTTCGAAAGCCTGACCCAGAGACTGTATTGATGGAACTTGGGTTTGGACCTCCAAATGATGGAAATTCTGCATGCCGTATTCCTAACAGATTTTTACAGCCGTCTAAGGTAAATTCGAGAGTAAATTATTATGAAAGAAGTAGAAATGGATAAAATTTTGTTAATCTTTCACCAACACAATATTCAAATACTATGTTCTCACAGTAGTCGGAAGCTAGTTTAAAATTCTTAGAAGTGCCAAATCAATTTCATAATGAAACTGGTCATTAGAAAGATACAGACTACTACAACCTATTTTTAAACTATATATTTAAAATAAATTATGTATCTACCAAAAATGTTATATTTCAATTTTAATTTTCATTGTTACATTTTGCAGGTCTTGCCAGAAGTAGATTTTAATAAATTTCTTGAGCAATATGGACAAAGAATATCTGATACACCACAGTAAGTAATAAATCATAACATTAACCATAGGAAAATAATTACCAATTAAGATTAATAATATTATCCGTCATGGTCAGTAAGTGAGAATATATTTTATAAATAAATTAAAACATATTCGTGTCTTGAATCATATAATTAGCAGTATTTCCCACTGAATGAGATAAATAGTTCTTTTTTATATCAATATAATTTTAAAATTGTATGTTAAATTTCTTGTCGTTGATAAAAATGATTCATTTAAGATGCGTTCAGTCAGCAAATTTATCTTTATATTTAAACTTTTGCTTTACCTTTAAAGTTGAAAATGCATAAGGCTTTTTTTCACGACTGAATATTGGTGAATATCTGACTTGTAGTTACTATTTCTATCTCTTTCGATCTTAGTCTTAGTTGTCATCTGGTAGCTGAAATCTCTTCACTCACACACTACATATACTACAACATTCGACTTCACTTGTAAAAAAAACAGCCTATACATATATGGAGTCATTCACTTAGTGATTTTTTTTTATTTTTTATGTAAGATGGTTAACACTCAATTCATCTTTTACTTCCTCGAAGTAACCAGAAATGAGCATGACTGTCGTGGTGCCAAAATAAATAGGAAAAATTACTACAAACTACTAAGAGAAAAATTAGCTATTGGTCATTCGAATTGTATTTCTTTCAATTTTTAACATAACGTGTGTAAATAATACTTTAAAAGGGTCTGTGTGAATGATAATTTTATTTGTTTAAATTTAAAAAATAGTAGAAACTTGAAGAGAAAAATAAATTTACTGCCTGAATGCAGCCCTGCTCATTATTAAAAATAACCGTTTTTACCTGTTATATGTGGAAACAATAAAATCATCATAATGACACTTGTTATTTGCAAATGGTAACATTTAAAGGTTTTAGTTTTCAAGAAAAAGTGTACAAAATCTGAATAAAAAATATTTTTTTAGATCTCATCCTGCTTCTCCTGGTAAACCAAGGCCTAAATCATATTGATCTCTGTTTATTTCAATCTCAGAAATAAAAGTAGATTTTTAATAGGTAAATGTTAGTAAAAGGGTGAATTTGAATCAAAACTGACTTAGGGGAATAAGTATAGTATATATTAATTATATCTTTTCCATCGGACATAGATAGTGTAATATAAAAACATACTTCAGTAATACCGAATTATTTAACTGTAATCATATTCATTACTCTTGGATATTAAGATTTAGGATATTATTTGATAGTTAAAAATGATTTCTATTTTTTTTTTGTTCGTAATGCAGTTACCGATTGTGATTTGTTCTCATTCCATTTAGATTTTAAAATAATTTGATAAACAATTGACAATCAATAATTATTGAAATCAAATTAATTATATTGAACCCTATACCAAACCTGTGAACCTGTTATCTGAAAGAAATCGTTTAAGAGGTTTTTCCGGTGTGTTTAATTTAAGTCAGTGGCAGTTGATGAGAACTAACGTGATCATATTTTAATAGTTAAGTACCTATGTGACTTATTTAGGGGATGATTTTTTAGGCTAACATAGAGGTTTCGTATCGAAAAAATGTCGAAAAAAATTAGGAAAATAAAAAAATTTAATCACAGATTGCGGACACTGAGATCTCGAAAGGGTTTGTACAAAGATTAGCACAGTATATTTTTTTATAATCGGCTGTGATAATAAATTTTTTTAATTTTCTCAAAAATGTTCACTCATTTTAAAATTACAATATTATGATGTTCAGAAAATGTATTGTTCGGTTCAAATTAAAATTTGAATTTGAATTTGAAAAAGAAATTTTAATTTTATGTGAAATAAATAAACGTATTTCATATCCATGAGTCGATTACGATAAAAATGTTTTGCTTTTTCCTGATTTCAGGGTTAGCAATTCCTATTTGAAATTTTTTTTTCATTTAATATTCACCAACCGCCACTGTTTCAAGCTATTGCAGTTAGAAATTGATTAATATAAATCATTATCATCAATTTTTCTGATTTTCCAAATGTTACAGATTTCCCAAAGATTTATATAAGAGTAAGTATAGGCTTTAGAAATTCAAAGTTTTTGTGATATTGGAAACTTTTACACGTTTATTACATCTTTTACTACTTTTACGGTTGGGTTTTCCAACAAATTATTTGCCATTTAAATCAAAGTGTGACACTCACTTATACATATAATTTTATGAGACAGATACAATTTAGCAAATAAATTGTAAGGACAGAAAACCAGCCTTTAAAACGATAATTCCCAAAATAGCTTTTTTTGTTTTATAAATTAGTACGAATGGGATATCAAATCCTAACACTTTAAAAATATTGTTATTGAAGATTGTTTTTTATTCCTGGAAAATATGTTTTTATTTATTATTTGTGAAGCTTTGTTGTTAAGTTTTATTACAGATTATATTTTTATAGTTTTTATTGCCATTAATAAATTTTCGTACATCAATCAATAGTTGTTTTCAATAATTTTAGTAGCAACTTCTGCAGTAGTTCGGCTGAATGTGTAATTTGAGTTGAACTACCCAATTTCATACAACTTTAATGTAATTATTGTATATTTTAAGTACGAAAAGTTTTCCATAGGCAAAAATAAATGCTCTCTTGATTAATTAAAAATATAAATGCGTGTGTAGTTTAGATGATAAAGACAATTCAATGTTAATGTAGTAGATATTTAGTTTTCCAAATATTTTAGTTTGTTTTTTTAATGCTACTATATGAGCATCTTTCACAGTAAAAAACTATGCACATTTGTAACAAATTTTATTTAAACATTGTATTTACTGCCAATACATACCATATTTTATATTTGGAAAAATATTTTTTTAAGCATTCCAAATGTGATATATTTGTATATGTATTCCTATAAATTTATATTGTACATCTACATTCCATTCGAGGCAAAATTATATAGTAGACATTTATATTTGAGGACCAAGTTTAAAATAAATATAAGAAATGTTTGTTTTCTTTCCACAAAAACCTGTCACAATTGTTTTCCATTTAAATCCAACCATATTACTCCCAATTTTTTTCTTTTAGTTGATATATGTGGTGATACAGTCAAAGGCTTCAAAGTAGTGGCCACTAACTTAAGTACATATTTCTGCCTAGATATTGAAATTGTTCATCCACCATATACATCGGAATACATATAATGAATAAATATTACTCCATATAATAAAAATACCCAGTACGGTATCTAGGGATTTCTTTTATTTTGTCTTCCACTATGTCTTAGCCCTAGGCAAACATATGCGGCGGATGAGGTATGTGATGTGACCTGCCGATTCTAATTGTATGAATGCTGTCTACTACTCAAGTACATGCCACGTGTGTCTGGGGCTTATACTAATAGGAACTCTAGTCCAGTAAATTCTTCTCACAAACAATATTTTTTTACTATTCATTCAGAATGTAAATAAGGAAAACGTTTAATTAATTCATTTGAGTCATAGCTCAAACAAAATTTAAATTTCTTTAAATGTTGCTGCATGCATGAACACCTAAACTGTGATGCTACAGCTAATGAATAATTCTGGTTGGTAAGTGATGAATTCAACCATTAGATTTTGTAATATAATGTAGAAAACGATCCTAAGTGAAAATGTGAAAACAAAAAGGCCTCTTTCTAGTAGCCGTTTTGTATGTGATTAAGCCTTTGTCGAGGATGATGGTACAATAGCAAGAATATATTTCTATGAATGATTACATTATACAGGGTGTAAGTTTGAGTGGGAGTCATATTTATACAAAGGCTTCCTTTGACATTTAGCTCAAATAACGGCGCGCTTTAGTCACAGGGCATGTACAATTCCATACCATTCGCCGTGAGTTACTTTTATCGAGTGGGTGTTCGCCACTCAAACAATCCTTAACAAGAAACCTACCAAAAAACTCAACCAGTAATCAATAATGATAAATGAAATACACAAAAATAGTCTGTTGATGGCTTCCAGTGATGAAAAACATTCAAATTCCCAGTTAGATGTACTGTCTCCAAATGTGGAACTGACTCTTTGCTTCGTCACCGTTGACCAGCACTATCTCCCTTCACATGCACTGTAGGTTGCATACAATTCATGTTTTTGTAATACATGGATGTTACAGTGACGGCGTACAAAAGTATTAAAGTGAGTTTTAAAAAACAGTATATCCAGGGGGGTTTGGGGCAGCCCTCCCCAGAAACACACTGACATACTTTTTTTTGGATAATGGTTTTGATCTATTGGTCAAATTTTATGAGAATGACCTACTTGAAAATGGTGCTCTTATCAATACTGAACATGTACATACGTGCTGAATTACCGAACCTACACTTAGAATAGTTGCAATAATACCAGTGACAATAGCAACTGCGGAAAGGAGCTACAGTACCTTGAGAAGATCAAAGACGTACTTGAGAAATACGACAGGAAAAAATAGACTCACCTCTTTGGCCCTTATGAACATACACTAGGCACAGAAATTAAGGGATATTAAAAAAATCCTAAAATTTTGGCTGATTTTCAAAGAGCTGTAACTTAGAGGGAAATAGTCGTAGAGAGAATTTAAAAAAAAGGAAATTGAAGTATTCTCTACAATACGTAATTATTGGTTTTTAATAAAAACAATTTTATATTTTAACTAGAAGGACCCGGCAAACGTTGTTTTGCCATATAAATTATTCCTAGGATTATTTTAGTAGATTTTTCATAAAGAAATTTCACTTCTACCANCGGAATACATATAATGAATAAATATTACTCCATATAATAAAAATACCCAGTGCGGTATCTAGGGCTTTCTTTTATTTTGTCTTCCACTATGTCTTAGCCCTAGGCAAACATATGTGGCGGATGAGGTATGTGATGTGACCTGCCGATTCTAATTGTATGAATGCTGTCTACTACTCAAGTACATGCCACGTGTGTCTGGGGCTTATACTAATAGGAACTCTAGTCCAGTAAATTCTTTTCACAAACAATATTTTTTTACTATTCATTCAGAATGTAAATAAGGAAAACGTTTAATTAATTCATTTGAGTCATAGCTCAAACAAAATTTAAATTTCTTTAAATGTTGCTGCATGCATGAACACCTAAACTGTGATGCTACAGCTAATGAATAATTCTGGTTGGTAAGTGATGAATTCAACCATTAGATTTTGTAATATAATGTAGAAAACGATCCTAAGTAAAATGTGAAAACAAAAACGCCTCTTTCTAGTAGCCGTTTTGTGTGATTTAGCCTTTGTCGAGGATGATGGTACAATAGCAAGAATATATTTCTTTGAATGATTACATTATACAGGGTGTAAGTTTGAGTGGGAGTCATATTTATACAGAGGCTTCCTTTGACATTTAGCTCAAATAACGGCGCGCTTTAGTCACGGCATGTACAATTCCATACCATTCGCCGTGAGTTACTTTTATCGAGTGGGTGTTCGCCACTCAAACAATCCTTAACAAGGAACCTAGCAAAAAACTCAACCAGTAATCAATAATGATAAATGAAATACACAAAAATAGTCCGTTGATGGCTTCCAGTGATGAAAAACATTCAAATTCCCAGTTAGATGTACCGTCTCCAAATGCGGAACTGACTCTTTGCTTCGTCACGGTTCACCAGCACTATCTCCCTTCACATGCACTGTAGGTTGCATACAATTCATGTGTTTGTAATACATGGATGTTACAGTGACGGCGTACAAAAGTATTAAAGCGAGTTTTAAAAAACAGTATAACCAGAGGCGAATCCAGGGGGGGTTTGGAGCAGCCCTTCCCAGAAACACACCGATATACTTTTTTTTGGAGTATTACTTCCTTTCCCCGTTTGATATCTAGCTCAGGAAACAAATGGTTTTGATCTATTGGTCAAATTTTATGAAAATGACCTACTTGAAAATGGTGCTTTTATCAATACTGAACATGTACATACGTGCTGAATTTCCGAACCTACACTTCTTAGAATAGTTGCAATAATACCAGTGACAACAGCAACTGCGGAAAGGATCTACAGTACCTTGAGAAGATTAAAGACGTACTTGAGAAATACGACAGGAGAAAATACTCACCTCTTTGGCCCTTATGAACATACAATAGGCACAGAAATTAAGGGATATTAAAAAAATCTTAAAATTTTGGGTGATTTTCAAAGAGCTGTAACTTGGAGGGAAATAGTCGTAGAGAGAATTTAAAAAAAGGAAATTGAAGCTTCAAGTGTCTAGTTTTCGGATATGGAGTTTAAAATATTTTAGCATCAGCAGTTTTTGAGTAATCGTAAGAAAATCAACAAAAAAAAATTGCAAATTTTTGCTTTTCTTTAAAAAGGCCTATGGACTTCAAAAATTTTTTTTCGGTTATTTCATCGTAAAGCTCTTTTAGATAAGTAATTTAATTCTCTTTAATTTGAGTGGTTCCGGAGCCTTGTACGATTATTTGTCGCTGAGTTATCGTCGATCAAAGAAAAAAAATCACTTTTGACTTTGGCAATCAATTACTCAAAATAATGGTTGTAAAGAAAATCCAAGCAGGGTTTTGAAAACTGTAAAGTATTCTCTACAAGTCGTAATTATTGATTTTTAATAAAAACATTTTTATATTTTAATATCGACATAAATGTTGATGAGGTGCTGCTCAACAAATTAGGCCAAAAAAGCCGTCAGCATCGAATAAATGTTATATTGTGGTTTGTTATAATGTGTTGTTATTTGATTTAATAATAATAAACAAATTGATACTATTTTGTATTTCATAGTCACGTTTCTAAAATCTCAATTCAGGTACCTTACATATAAATAAGAGATTAAGAAACCACCTTATTTCAATCTAATACAATTTAGAGACGTCAGGACAATATAACTTTTTACGACCTCAGCCCCTCCTAGACCAAAATCCTGGATTCATCACCGAGTATAACTCAACTATTTATTTGATTAAAATAAAAAGAATTTCAGGTATGTATTCAGGGGAACACGTTCTATTAGCCCTAAAAAACTGACCCCCAATTAAAGTTACACCCTGTACAACAACTTTAATATAGGTAAAAAGTATGTGTTTTGGTAATAATTATATACGTCCATCATTTTTAGTTCTTATTTTGTATAATTAATTAATTATTACGAGTGGTTTACTAGGTACTGGTGGTATAATTTAATGCTAGTTGAAATTTTGGGACTTTTATTTAAGACGCAGATTCTCCCTTTTGCTTTAAGAATCCATGACTCAAACTCCACAGAGCCTTTTACCTATTTACACTCTAAAGTGACAAACTAATTACTAGTGTTTATAATGTAATCGTGAATCTTTTTTCTGGTACAATATTTGTGGGTAGACAAAATTAAGTCTATAAAATCAACCCCTGTTGACCGTTTCTTTTGGCGACTAGGAATTATCTATTTAAAATTTGGAATTCTTTTCAGTATGACAGAAATACACAATGAAATGAGGAGGAGGAAAAGGTTAATGCTGAAATGTGCAGGGTGCGGCGCTAAAATTTGGACAAACTTCAATTTAAAAATTCCGCCATTCTATATCACTTGTAGAGATCACAATTGACATCGCAATAGCTTGAAGCATGTACTAAACCAGAGGTCTTCAAACTTTTATGACCTGCGGAACCCCGCCAACATTTCGATTTTTTTGAGGAACCCCTATGCCTAAAAAAAATGTTCACACATTTTTTAATGATTAACCAAATACTTAAATATTCCACTAAGTAAAAATTAAAGTAAGACTTTAAAGTGAATGTAAATATTTATTGAGTAATTAAAAAGAGTAAATATAATCAAAGACTGGGATGTGCTTGAATATTTTTACATATCGCACCTCCGCTACAAAGGAGTCGCAACTCAAAAAAAATTGGTTTTGAGAAAAACTGTGTTAAAGTATTTAATTAACTCTTGGTCTCAATTTTTCGTAACAATAACAACATATAAAGTATACGTCGCTTTATTTTAAATGTAGATATAATACATATTATGTTAGAATATACTAGACTTGTGAGCAAGATCGGTTTGTGTTCATTTTTGGTTGAAAAAGGAAAATGGTTGAAGTTGTGACACTTTTTTAAAATAACATTAATTCTTTTAAAAATCAGACACAGTATATAATACACAATAAATAAATAAATAATATACAAAAATAAAGTAGAAAACATGTTTATTTGTTTATTATAAAGCACTATAAAACAGCAAGTAATATTTAGGAATATGGTTATGTTCTATTAAATCCAGATCTTTTTTTTTTGTTTTCTTTAATTTTGATTGCATTGATTGATTTGATTGCAAAAACTGTCATGATACGAAATATGACATTTTTCTCGAAGAAACTAATAACTGGCTACATACCTGCTGCTGCAAGTCGAAATGTAACACTGTTTTTGAATGCAGAGCTGACAACCTACCACAAAATACAAGTGTCACTTCTGCCATCTAGCGAGTAATAGTTCAAATAAAAATATGACGCTTTTGTGGAAGAAAGAACTAGTCATTTTAAATCTTGCTGCATATTTAACTCATTAAGGACATTTTTTGACTTGCGACTCTTTTTTTGCGGGGGTGCGATATGTTAAAATCAGGTGCTATTGTCGTAAGTTGCAATCGCATTTCAAATTCGCTATGTATGTGGAAAATAATTTTTCGCACGGGTACGTAGTTGCAAAAGGCATTAATACATTTTTTGCCTGGTCAGCAATTTCAGGATATTCCTTATTAATCTCTAGCCAAAAATCAAGGGAAAGGCGACGTAACCAACACGAAGAACGCTGCGCCAGCTTATGAGTTATAAGCGGACTACTTGCACTTGCATAAATAGATAAAGCTCTTATAGTAACTTACACGTGTACTTATAAAAATAAAAAGTTTTAAGAGAATAAACTTTTTTCAATTTTGTAATTATCGATAATAAAATTTTAAATTTTTGACTGAGTCATGAATCCCCCAGAGAGGTGGGAGGAAACCCCAGGGTTTCGCTGAATACAGATTGAATACCGCAGTACTAAACATTGAAGTCATAACCTCAAAATAAGAGTATAACCAACGAGCCGCAATTGTCGAAAGAATGCACTCTGGGCGCTCGGTGACAGAGATCATTCGGCTCTTCAGGTACCCAAGATTGACTGTGTATGATGTCATCGCTAAGTTTAAGTTGGAAAAATCCAACGAAGGTTCTGCAACACTGGCTAGGAAAGCTCAATGGGTTCAGGAGCTGATGATTCTTGAGGATCTAGGACAGTTAATCCGAAAATTGGCATGAATTGTTAGTGTGTGAGAAAACGATACGTCAAAGCGGTCCTCTACAATAAGTTTTCTACAATTAAAGTAAGATTTCTGAAGCAGCCAGGACAAAGTGAGTTGAATGCAGCAACCTACTTTGGTGTTCCTTAAGAAGGAAAAGAATTTAAGGAATGACTGTTGGCACACCCACGACCCTGAAGATGTCCACATTGTTTCCAAAACGAAGTTTCTGGAATATAGTCACATGCTAGATCTTGTGTACAATAAGGGTGATGACATGCCTCCCCATTTCTTTAACAAAGGGGAAAATGTGCCAAAAGAAGTTTACTTGCATGTTCTGGCAGTGAAACCGTGGATGGGAACTGTGTCTAGAAAGCTGTATGTTTTCCAGCAGGACGGTGCACCCGCTGACACCAGTCATTTGGTGTAAAATTGGTATTGGCCCAAAGAGATCTGGCCTTCCAACAGCCCAGATTTAAATCCTTTACACTTCTATGTATGAAGCATAGTTGAAAGAGTCACCAACAAGTCCAGACATCCAAACGTACCATCATTAAAAGCTGCTATTGACGTGGCATTATGAACTATGACACATTAAAGTGAACCTGCAAAACGCTTTTCCTTTTTTGCAATAAAATATGTTTGAAAAAAAATGTTTAGTTTCCCCGGATTTTAGCGCCGCACCCTGTATTTGTAGTGACGAGGTAGAAAAAACAAATCTAAAGAAATATATATTTAGAAAAAGAAGTATTGATTTATTAATCCTTAATCCTATATTAGGAAAAAAAAACATTTTCTCGTAACAAGTACATACACATTAAAAAACAATGAAAGTAACACCTTTTTGTATTGCATAAAACAGCAAACTAAATTCAAACAAATGAAAGGCAAACATTTCTGGTGTTCAATAATGAGGGAGTCCCTATGAATAAATGAAATTATTTCTCATTCAATGTGTCTTGACCGACATCGTCATCTGACTGTATGGGAGACTGTGGTCTGGACAAAACCGCAGGCACGATTCGTTCATCATGACTGATCTTACCAGAACAAGCACTGGGGGGGCGGCTTATCACTTTTTCTTCTGATTTAGTGTCTTCGTCTTGTATTGGCGATTGAGGCCTCGAAGCTACTGCTGGTACGATACGATCGTCATGACTTATTTTCCCAGAGCAGCTACTAACTGGTCTACTTATGTTTTCATTGTCTTTGGTTAATAGCGCCTTTTCTATTGCATCTTTCAGAACCGATTCAATTTCAGATTCTACTAAACTGTCAGATGAAAGATCACCCTCATTAATAGACACGCGTTTCTTTGGGCTCTCTGGTGCTGACTTTATTAATTTTGGACAAGTTTCCTCTTTTATTTCTTCAGTGATTTCGTCTACTTCATTTTTAGGCAAGGCAGTTTCATCCTTTGCATCTAATATATTTTTATCACTCTTAGATGATGACACAATCTCATTAGAAGACACGTGTTTTTTAGGGCTTTCTGGTGGTGACTTCGTTAATTTTCGACAAGTACCCTCATCTATTTTTTCAGAAATTACGCCTATTTCATTTTTCGGTAAGGCAGTTTCTTTTGCATCTAATATATCTTTCTCAGACGACAATTCGATCTGAGTAGGATGTTCTTTTGGGCTTTCTGGTGTTGACTTTATTAATTTTTGGCAAGTATCCTCTTCTATTTCTCCACAGATTGCATCTGTATCATTTTGGGGCAAGATAGTTGTGTCTTCGTCTAATATGCTTCTATCACTCTCAGACGGCAAATTCTCATTAGGAGACATACATTTTTCTGAACTTTCTGTTGACTTTAATATTTTTTGGGAAGTATCCTCTTTTATTTCTTCTGAGATTACATGTACTTCATTTTTAGATAAGATAGTTTTATCTTCTTCATTTAATTCATTTATTTCATTTTTATTATTTTCAGATGACGACTCGGGTATAGTCTTACATTCGGGATTTTTTTCTTTTAACTCACTTTCTGACGAAATCCTGTTACTTTCCTCATTTTGGGAATTTGGTACAATTTCACTATTTTCCGATTTGGATAACTCTACTTTATCCGATTCAATTTTTTCTTCTATATCATTTTGTGAGGTAGACTCAGTTTTATTCCTTTCATCATCTAATTTAATATCGGTAACTGCATCAGATTTATTGCAGTCAGATTTTCTTTCATGTACATTTTCTTGTAATATATCTTCAGCGGTTATAATTCCAAGTATTTGTTTGATATCATCTGAGGAACTCTGTGGAGAAGGAATATCCATTCTCCCTTCAAGGACCTCCGTTTCTTTATTATTTGGACAAGTACCTTCGCTTATGGTATTATGGGGAATGGTATCATTTAAGTAAGCATTAATATCTGCTTCGTCATCAGTCTTCTCATCATCTGCACTTGTTCTCGACATATTTAGTGAAGAGGTTTTAATGCCTCCTAAGCTGGGTCTGATGTCGCAGCCATCAGCATACAGTCGTACTGTATTTTCTGCAATGAACTCAATTTGGAAAAGTTTAGAACCTAGAACAAAAGAAATGTTTTCTGTTATTAAAGTTTTTACAAAATAAATAGCTAAACAGATTAATTTAAAACATGAATTTACTGGTGAAAAAGTGAAATTTAAAAAAGTTAATTAAGACACTGAAGACAAAGTTCATGAATATCAAAAATGCAAAAAAGAATATGTACACCACCACAAAGACAGAAATGCTACAAGATTAAGTGTTTCTACCATTCTAACGATACATTATAAGCTACTGCTACAATTGCTAGGACTTACCCAAATATGTGCTGTAGAAGTTTTTACTTTTCCCCAGTATAATAAAAACTGCTAATAAAAATATATTTTCATGATATGTATATACCATTTTTTTGTGACTGGAATTTCATTAATTATGCATGAAGGCAAAAAATGTATTTTAGTTAAAACTTACCTATATCAAAATTATTATTTTGAAATATTTCAATATAAGATTTGTTTGTCTAGTTGCATAATGTTGTAAACAATTATTATTTACAGCATTATGAATAAGGATGTTCAAAAAAGGGGTTGATTTCATTTTATTTTTACGTACATATTTATAAGTAGATATATTAGACGTTCTAGCGCGCTCTCAAGTTCATACTTCTACTACTCTACAATTGTTACTACTTCTATTATTATTACTAGTACTACTTCTACTGCTACTACTATTATTCACTTTATTATTACTACTTAAAATAAACCATATTTTTTCAGCCATTGGTAAGGAATGTGAAGATTTGGTATTATGTAATTTATTATTTACTACGAATGTAAGGGCGCCTCAAGTTTATTAAAATAAAAAAAATTGCAAAAGTCAAAAACACAACAGAATTCGGTAAAAGCATTGAAAAATAAAAATTCTAATTCTACACAAAAACAATTATAGTTGTTACGATCTCAATTGGAACCGCATAAAAACATTTAACTCATAAATTCTACAGAATTCATAGACGTCCAGAAAAATTTAGCCCTGCCTCATCTAAAATATACTATATTCCGAGCTATATTACCATATAATTACCATACGATTGTCAAGTTTTTTATGTTTAAAATCGTCATGCAATAAAGCATGTCGTAAAATATCTAAAGATTTATAATTATAATCAGGATACTCGCTTAATTTATCTCGAATCATGTTTAAAGTAGGAACTTTATTTTCTTAATACATATTATAAATTGTGCGCCACATTACATCTGGTAAAATCGTCAATTTTCTTTAATTTTGTATTTTTCCATTTCCTCTTTGTACCGTGATCAATCCATTAATTACGCGATAAATTGTCGTTTTTGATACCTTAGTTAATTCGTTAATACATTTCCTAACTTCTTTATCACATTGTTCACTATTTTCAATTTTCAAACATTCATTTATATATTTAATATAATACGTTGACTTTTTACGTGTAAATCTTGGTTTTTAAACTCTTGAGTTTGTTTTGATACTTTCGACCAGTTCAACTATTTGGGGATTTTCCCGAGTTATTTCGTTATCCTCCGCTTCAGAGTCTCCAGAGAGCCACGCTAAATTACTAGATAATTACATATAACATTTATTTTAATAACTATTACCCTTTACTGGTTACGATAAGAACAAATAATATCAACTAATAAATAATAATACTTATTATACCAACATACCCCGCCAAGCAATGCTCTGCACTGCACAGCCAAAGCGGCAAAGCTAAGTTAACCCGTGTACCATACAAAAAAATGATTTACGACCTAGTGGACCAATACAGGTTTGCTTGGATGACCAGCGCGCCGCCGTCAATTCTACATCAGACGGACTAGTTTATCAATACTGGACTTGCCGAATTGCTATTCGAGTATAAATTACGAGACACATCATGGTCAAAGCATAGAAAGAAATTTCAGGAGAAGTACATACTGTCCTCTGCTTTAAGATTTACAGATTCCAATTGACATCGTAACAACTATACCAGTTGCACAATTTAATTATGCTTTGAAGATACACAAATATCATATCAACTTCACCAAAAAATTTATTAAACTACACAATTATTGTACTCCTTGCTCTGTTGTCCTTCACCACATACTACTTACCACACATTTGCACAGCTCATATCCCAAATGAAATTTGTCAGTCAATAATAAGTTTCAAGTAATAACTTTATCAAAAATTAAAAAAATTCCACTACCAATATGCTCTAGTATTTTGTGTACATGCAACAACCACAGACTCTTGGGGTCAAAATAAGAAAATCTCACCTCACAACTTCAGTTGTTATTTTACCATAAAGATAAAGGCTCTTTTGAAGTTTTTTCTTTCTTGCTGAGAATATCCCAGCTTTGAAAAATTTTCCAGGCAAAAATGTAAGCTCTATATTGGTTTCCATTTTTCAACACCAACATTTTTTTTATGTCTTCCACATACATATTTAATGTAATTATGATTATTTAAAAAATTATGCAGTTGCCGCCATAAAGTTTGACCTTGTTTTTTAATTGGAAAATTGATTAGAAAATAAATTCTAATAAATTTTGCTTGTCTGAATACCAAGCACCTTAATATACTTAGCAATATTCACATTAAAAAAAAACACATTTTTTTTGAAAAATGGGAAATTTTTTATTAAATTATAAATTCTAATAAAGAAGTACTATTTAGTTTCTGAAGCACAGAGTGCTCAAGTTGAAATTTTTGGAAATATATATTTTTTAATTATTCAAATGCCTAAAGACAGAAATGAAATTTTACACAGGTATTTTATTTAACTGATAACTACTACGGACTAGAATTATTCGGGGATTAAACGTCGGATAAAAATAGGGTCTATGTAAAATTTTGCATTATCTTTCTTGATGAGATTTTTTCGTTTACTTAAAACATAAATTTGGGTTTTTTATATGAAGAAACATTTCTTTGGATATTTTACTGGCCGTGAAAAATATAAATATTAAAATTTTATTTTTTTCACAGATGGCAAGGTGCCCAAATAAATAAGACAAAAAATTTAAACTATGCCACTAAAAAATAAATGCAGAGACATTAAGAAACATTTCATTATTTAATTTTAGCCTAATAAAAAATCCTATAATTAAATTTTGATCTCATCTAAATAATTAAGAAAGCATAAATCAACATAGTTTATTCAAATAAAAAACACAACAGATGATTTTTGTATAAAAATATCCAAATTTTTTCTTAAAAAAATGTCACTTCAAGGAAACCCTGTACATCCTGTATATAATATAATCATAATTACAGAATACTTTGGTGACATCCGACGAAAAGATCTTGTAAATAATGATGATAATATAACAATTTTTTTTAAATTAAATCATCATCATAATTCAGTTAAAAAAAAAATTGCACTCATTTCAGATTTCTTGCATTTAAGAAAGAGTTCAGTAAAATAGACTTATTCTGACGACCTCAAATCTGTGGTAGTTCCAGGTGCATGATATATTGAAACAGTAATAGTAAATTCAAAGTACCTTTAAAAACTTGGGGTTTAGAAGTGTGAAAAGGTGAAAGTGTTTACTACTATCGCATAAAAAGGAATTTGAAACTATTTTAATTTAAAATACAAAGCTTGGAACATTCAAAATAAAGTTGGCATTCTACTTCTGCGGCATACACGTTCTGGCTATTAAGTTTTAAGACTGATTTTGTTGCGACAAAGTATGTGGCGCTGTGTATGTCCGGTCACCGGATTTACGTAGTGGCAAGCTTTACCAGTCACTAATCAAAATTTTATCAGTAAACGTGTATCTACCATGAAGTTATAACGTTTTGTGTGAAGACTTTTTGATAGTAGTCAAACGCATATTGAACAGCGTACAACAATCAAGTTCTGTTTTAAAGCCTATAAAACAGCCACGGAGACGTGTTACAAATGATGAGGACTGTGTATCACGCCCGACTGTATTCCTCTAGTTCAGGAGGTATTGTGATGGCCGAGACAGCATGCAGAATGGCGAGAAAACGGGGCATTCCGGCACAAGCTGAACGAACGGAAAAATGGAAGCTGTGCGCTCTGCGTTGAAGTCTAGTCGTCAATTAATCGTACACGGTCTGCCTACATTCTGATGGTCAGACTTCAATGGAGCGCACAGTTTCCATATTTTCCTTCGTTCCTCTTGTGCGGGTACAACCCGTCCTCCCGTTATCGTGCACACTGTCTCGGCCATCACAAAACCTCCCAAACCGCAGAAACACAGTCGGACGTGATTCACCGCACTCCCCACCATTTGTAACTTCGTAGTAGATACACATATACAGATGAAATTTTGTTTGGTCAATCGGAAAGGCTTCCCACTATGTAGTTCCGGGGACTACACATGGATCATGCCATGCACTTCGCCACAATAAAATCAGTCTTCATATTTAATAGCCAGATCATGTAAATTAGAAAATTTCAGGAAAAGAAGACACAATGAAATAGGTTCAATAGCTCCAGCACATATTAAAGCTTCTAGCAGAAGGAAAGATGAATGCGATGAATTAAAATATTTACAAAAATATTTAAATAGATTTTTTTTTAATTAAAAAGCACTTTGACTGATTGCCTGAAAAAAAAAAAAAACATTCTTCTAAAGGATGATATTTAGACCACTTTAATAAAACATAACATTTTATTTAGTATTCTGAAAGTATTTAATCCTATATCATTTAATTTTCTAAAATTATTAAATAACTAGGAGAATTATAAATACATAGTGAAAGTTTTAGCTATATTTTTTAATTATAGCACACTAAAATCATTTTAAAAAAAGGCATAAGTACAGTGCAAAATATTCATATAAAGTGAACCAACAATCAGGGCAACAATTTTCACACCCAAAAACCAGACCTAACTTGCTCAAAGGTTTTTGGTATGCAGAATCCGAATCCGTCGTCAGAATTGCTCCTATATGTCACGTTTCCGAGATATCCTAACCTAAAAGTGTAAAAAACACGTTTTTTGCTATATTTGAGCTTATATCACAGAGCGAAAAAATGTTTTGTCACCGAACCAGAGATTTTCAATTAAAATTAATGTAAAATAAGCAAAAAATCATCGCAGACAGCGAAACACAGCGACGTCAGTAATCAATTAAATTAAGATAGTAACAGACGCATAATTACGAATTGACTACTGAATCTCGGACCACCGTAAATCAAACCTCGGACTAATATTTTAGTATCAAACCGTTTTTCGAAAGTTTCTGATATTTTTTTTTTTACAAAAAAAAGCAATACAAAGTTCTACGCCTTCCTAAGAGCCTTACTAGCCGCGGCTTCGAAAAAAACCGGGTAGCAAGAATCTACTAGGAAACGGAGGCGTAGACATGGCGCCCAACTAAAGGGCCTCGAGTGGACAAGTTCGCCCACAAGAACCTCACAACCAGGTATCGATATGGAAAATAGATATCCACCTCCAATTCAACAAAGACATTCAGAAATAAACAGTGAATTGTCTTTTGGACCGGCACAACGTTCCAATCCAAGGCAGGAACCACCCACAGCCGGACAACGTCTCATTGACGCGTTTACAGCAGGCTTACACAACGTGCCACAGGCGGAAACAAGGCCGACACCCCACTTCACCTTTTGCAGCGGAATCACGAAGTGTCCGGCAACGTTCTTCGCGCTTTGATGCGTGGACACCAACGCCGGAGATGGGATCAACACCTGTCCCAAACACTATCCGTACTCCAGACAAGACAGCAACAACAGCGACCAGATCGAGCTGTCATCCAAGCTCGCCAACAAGATTTTCAAGCTCTACGAACTAGACACCCAACCACTCACCGAATTCCAAATCGGCGCACGAGTCATGGAGAGGTCTCATCCGACGAATCGAGAAGGTTTCGCCCCGGTCTGGACTGGCCCCGGCAGAGTACTACGACGTTTGGGAGACGTTACCTACAACGCTCGAACTCAACTCCACCACATAGACGACCTCCGCCCAGCGCAATGATGACGTCGAACTAAGCGACGCCGAGTCCGACGATGACGACCAAGTCTCAGGGGACCACCACCAACCACAACCTCCACAATCAGGCCAGCCAGCTACCAGAGAGCAACAATGTCAAGGTGACATACCGCTCCCGGTCGAGCCACCACAGCCAGGTCCAAGCCGCAGACAGCCTAAGCCAAGGTCCACCGCAGTAGACGCAGAGCCATTAGGTCAAAGCGATCGTCAGCTCTCCTGCAGCAGCCAAAGCCGAGCCAACAGCGAGTTCAGAGACCTAGACCACAACATGGCCCTGGTAACAAACCCAAACCAGACCACAGACACGCGGCCCAGAGAAAACAAGGCCAGAGAGGACCACCGTTCCCAAGTCGCTGTCCCAACTGACCCAGAGTCCATGCCAGAGCAGTGAGCCGACAACAGAGAACCATCAAATCAGGGCGATTTATGTTCTAGTTGCCATGCCGGCTGCGCAGCTTCAACGAAAAAGATCAAGAATCCAGTCCCAGTGCAACCACGACGCCGCAGATCCGGAGCAGAACGCCCGATCCAGCCGTCAGCCGTCCAGTTCACAAGCCAGCCGCCAGCAGCAGTTCCAGCAGCCCGAGCAGCTACGTCAACCGCGAACTCGAGTGCGGGAAGTGTAGTGAGTGAAAGTTACATTTTGCCCCATTACAATATTTACTATTAAATAACGTTTTCCAAACATTCATATTTCCTCACTGAGTGCACATTGATTTTATGATTTACCAATTTCCATGTAAACAGTTCCAAATAAAACTAGGCCCAACAGTCAGTAAAATCGATTCGCACAAAGGAGGGAGGTGTCACCGAACCAGAGATTTTCAATTAAAATTAATGTAACATAAGCAAAAAATCATCGCAGACAGCGAAACACAGAGACATTGCTGTCATCAGTAATCAATTAAATTAAGATAGTGACAGACGCATAATTACGAATCGACTACTGACTCTCGGACCACAGTAAATCAAACCTCAAACTATTATTTTAGTATCAAACCGTTTTTCGAAAGTTTGTGATATTGTTTTTTTTACAAAAAAAAGCAATACGAAGTTCTATGCCTTTCTAGGAGCCTTACTAGCCACGGCTTCGAAAAAATCGGGTAGCAAGAATCTACTAGGAAACGGAGGTGTAGACAGTTTTTTCTAAAAACGAATCACGCCCTCTAAAACTACCACTCTTACCCATCAAAATGTTTTTTTCAGATTTGAAAAATCTTTTTTATTCGCGGAGATATCATTGAATGAAGTTAGGTACTTTAGAGTTTTCATAACAGTGATACTAAAATTGAAAAAAGTTCTTTGAAAGCGGAAGTAATATATTTACATGTTATTTGGGTTGCCCAGTCCGAATCTGACCTCCAAATTATCACTTTAGGATTCTGAGATTTCCTAACCTAAAATTTCAAAATCAACGATTTTAGGCTGAACTATCGGTATTAACCTCTATAATTGTAACACGGAGCCATTTAACATAGAAATACGTACCCTGCAAACACTACACCCACAACAAGTTAACATAAGGGCACAATAATCGCTACCACAATAACCACTACTTGCCCACAACAGTTTAACCTAAGTACACAATAATCTGCAAGCGCTAAACCCCAGACAAGTTAACCCAAGTGCACAATAACTTGAGAGTGCTACACCTCAGAAAGGTTAACCCAAGTGCACAATAACTTGCGAGTGCTAAACCCTCTGTTAAGGCAGTCCGGTTAACCTGTCTGGAGTGTGGCGTTTGCAGGTTATTGTGCACTGGGTTAACCTGTGTGGGGTGTAGCACTCGCAGATTATTGTGCAGTTGGATTAACCTGTCTGGGGTTTAGCACTTACAGGTTATTGTGTACTTAGGTTAATCTGTTGTGGGTGTAGTATTTGCAGGTTACATGCTTCTATATTAAATGGCTCTGTGTTACAGTTAAAGAGGTTAATACCGACAGTTCAGCTTAAAATTGTTGATTTTGCAGTTTTAGGTTAGGAAATCTCGGAATCCTAAAGTGATAGAGTAATTTGGAGGTCATATTCGGATTGGGCGACCCAAAAAACATATAAATATATTACTTCCGCTTTTTGAAGAACTTTTTTCAATTTTAGTACCACTGTTATAAAAACGCTAAAGTACCTAACTTCATTCAATGAATAAAAAAGATTTTTCGATTCTGAAAAAAGCAAATAAAAATGTTTCACTCTATGATATAAGCTCAAATATAGCAAAAAAAACGTGTTTTTTGCACTTTTAGGTTAGGATATCTCGGAAACTGCGCGAAACAATTCTGACGCCGGATTCGGATTCTGCGCATCAAAAACCTTAGGGCAAGTGAGGTCTGGTTTTTGGGTGTGATCTTTCGTCAAATTTTGTTGCCCTGTGTTATTTAAAAGAATAAGAAAAAGTTATAAGGAACATTTTTGAATGTACATCCTTTACCATATTTATAAAAACTAAATTGGATCAAGCATTCACAATACTATAAACATAAAATATAACTGATACAAATAAGAAAAAACAAAATTTGGTATTTTATAATAACCTGAAAAATTATCAATTATTGAAAATGAAATATCAATACACTACTGAAAGAACCAATGTAAATAAAAAAAAAATATATTTAACAAAAACAAACTGCGTCTTTAGGTACAACAAAACACAAAATAAAAATCGAACAGCATGCAAATTGTACAATTTATTATTGAATTCATACAACTAAATCAACTAGAACATATAGTGGACAACGTTCAGGCAAAAAATTGAAATTAACTCAAATATGTTCACTGTACCTGTACAATTAAAAAAAAAACTAGAATAAATAACAGTGTTTTCTAAATACCTTGATTATTTAGTTCCTGAAATTTGTCAGTAGATTCCTCAGTCCAAGTCATACCGGGCATGGGCTCCAACTTGTAACGTTCAGCTAAGGTTTCTCCGTTCTTCTCTATCACAAAACCGTCCAAGTTTTCTACATCTTTTACACATCCCTCTTCCGTTTCTGGTAATAACATAGATGTTACGTCTTCACCTTCTATAAACAACTGAACTACTGAGGTTTCCCCAGTGCTTATCTTATGAACCGTGAAAATGGTTTGACCGTCAGCCGATATTTCATTAAATTTGTTCACTGCCTGCGGCGACCAGTACGGGATTCCCTCTGGCTTCTGTAAGCTGCACTTCTGTGCTAAAGGGGGCGTCACAACTAAATCTTCGGGTAACTGACGCAGACTGCTGCTGATGCTGGAATTCCCATAATCGATGAACAACAGTTCCAAACCGGCGACCGTATCGGAGAGAATGCGGGCTCTGTACCACATCTGATCATCGGGGAAAAGTGCTGCACACAAGGTACCAGGGGTCGTATCCTCCAGTTCTGGGAAATTCTCTGCACCAGAGAGTTGCTCGGCTATCCATTCTAACTCATCCACGCAATTTTCTAGTTGCAACCAGAATTCCGACGGAGAATTCAAGTGGCTGACGAAACATGTCGATTTATTTTCCTCAGAAAGTTCCAAAGGAAGAGCTAGGTTTTCATTAATCAAAATGTCTTTGGCGTTCTGGCCATTTACGTAAAGTTCCACGTAATTCGTCTTTTCATCTTGATCGATGAATTCAGCAGTTATGTTGTTAACGCCGACCAGTGCTTCAAACCTTTCAGTAGCATTAGTGCTCCATTCACCATCAACAGATTTAACTTTTAGACTGGATCTGGTGGCGTAAACTGCTAGAGATAATAAATTTGGCGGTAATGTTTTAATCTTTGTGGTCTCGTTACTTATGACATCTGTGTTACCATAATCAACAAATCTAACAGTGGTTATATCGTCATCCGCATCTAGTACTTCGGCTCTGTACCACTGTTGGTCAACGGAAAACGGAGCTGCACATAATATTCCAGCAGTCGGGTTTTCCAACACAGGCATATCTACTGCTTGTAGCTGTAGGTTCGATTGAAGTTCGTCAATGGCACTCAGAGAGTCTGACAATTGGAGGTAAAACTCAGTGGGACTGTCAATGTGGCTAACAATAACCTACAACAACAAAAAATATATAAACGAGCGTAATTCTTTCATTTATTCAATGGTAATGGAAAAATTAAGTTACGGTTTACTTGGTTAGAATATTTAGGTGTCCGAACAGTATTTAAAAATTCAAGGTGTGCGACTTCATTTGCGTTAATTATAGCAACCAATGAAATAGAAGACATAAAAAACCTAACCTAACCTCTTTGTCAACTGTCAACTGTAATATGTATGGGTGACAGGGTGACATGGAAAAAAGTGCAATGCATAGCACTACACGATAGAGGACCTCAAGACATAAAAATTTCTTTTGTTTTTAAGATACAGCGTTAAAATAATTTTGGAAAATATTGATTTTTATTTTTATTACTTCCGATTAAGTGGAGGGAATGTACTGACAATTGGTACATAATATCCTCTACAGGTTTCCAACCAGTACCGCAGTTAGAGGGTTCACTATGTTTAAATCAAATTAATAAATTAATACGGTCCTGTAAAAAATTTTTAGGCAAACCTTGCAAAATATGAAGATTAGAGGAACTTTTAATAGGAATTATATTACCTGCCGCAAAATGTTAAAATAGTACAGGGCCGTATTAATTTATTAATTTGATTTAAACATAATTAATCCTCCAACTCAGACACTGGTTGGCAACCTGTAGAGGATATTATGTACCAACTGTCAGTACATTCCCTCGCTTTAATTGGAAGTAATAAAAAAAAAATCTATATTTTTCAAAATTTCTTTAACCATGATTCATAGTTCAAAAGTAATACAGTAATACCCCGAACTTACGCAATAGGTGGGACCGAGCGATAACTGTGTAAGTCGAATTCGCGTAAGTCAGGGTACTATTTGGCATATAAATACATACAAATTATATCCGTACGATATTTGTTACTTTGTTTGGATGCCATAGTAAAGTCTGTTAAGTCTCCGTAAATACAACGAACACACAATATAAATATGTACTGTAACACCTGTGTAACACAAAATAATAGTTTGTAGTTATGTGTCAAATTTGCGCGAAACATATCAACACTTCGTAAACAACTGAACACGTGTGGACGGAGTGAAGAAACAAGAGTAGCGCGTTGCTCAAACAAATGCCGAATCGACGAGATTTAAAAATCGCATAACTCAGAATTCGCGTAAGACGGGGCAGTGTAAGTCGGGGTATTACAGTATATAATTCCTCGACTTTTCCTGATTTTCCCTGAAAAGAATCAGATCACTTGTAGGTCATTTTTACACACTAATTGGTGTTTATGCATTACACTCTTTTTATTATACTGGACTCCATAATCTTTTTATACCCAAAAAACCTCTTATAAAGGTTTCAAAACCACAAATAGTTTCTCTTTCAAGGACCCAGAGATGGTTTTCACAAAATTTCCAGTTGCAAACATCAAATTCCCCGATTTTCATGAATACTTTTAAAATTTCCCGACTAGTCCCTGTTTTTTATGAAGAATAATGAATTCCCTGTTTTTTCCCGGTATTCCCGGTATTCCAGGCTGCTATGAACCCTGTTAACACTCCGTATCGCGAAGACAAAAGAAATTTAGACATAAGTGTATAGGAACTTTTTATATGTTTTGAGGTCCTCTACCATTTGGTGCTATGCATTGTCACTTTAAATTGGATTTTACATCATCAGGTCGTGAGAAATTATGTTACCCACACCTAAACTGCAGAGTTTAGGTCTATTCTAGTTGGGAAAAAAAACACTCAAGGGGTGGGTATAGTCTACATATTGTAGAAAGAATTGTCAATGTCAGAGAGTATATAAATATCATCCGAGAAAGTTTAATACCATCTATTGATAAATTAAAAGACAAATGAAAATTAATACATTTTCCAGCAAGATGGCGCCGCGTGTCATACGGCAAAAATTGTCAAGGAGTGGTTGTCAAACCATAATGTAAAGCTATTAGACTGGACATCTAGTAGTCCAGACCTCTCTCCTACCGAGACTTTGTGGCATGAAATGAAAAAAAAATTAAGTGCTGCGCCTGCAAGAAGTATTCCAGAATTATGGGAAAGACTAACTCAAATTTGGTATTCTTTTACACAACAAGATTGTCAAAAGTTAGTTAATACCATGTCTAGGCGCATCACTGCTGTAATAAAGAATAAAGGCGGCGTTACACAGTGGTGACTGATGCTCAATCAAATGAATAATGAGTGGGCCAAATGATATGAAGAGGCATAATTTTATTTAAGCATACTTAGATTACGTATTTGTTGTTTGTTTTCCTTAAAAATTTGTTGAGATGTGTTTTATATTATGTTGTTAGGCCTACATATTGCCAATAAAGGATAATTGTCATATCCATAATGTAGTCAAAAACATTATCAAAAACTAACATTGGGCCAAACGATATGAATCTGAGCTCGTAGCCTAAATCTGCCTATTTTTAGTCCACGAATCTGTGGACTTCTGTTGTACACCTTATTCTGTGACACCCTGTATAACTAATATAGTGTTCTGTGAATCTAATAACAAATAAAATAACAGTAAACCTGATAAACAACTTTACAGGACCTAATAGATATTGGGTATTTTCCTGTACTGATTTAGTAGATTTCGGTAGGTTTTTTTCGAAAAACTAGGTAGTACTTAGAATTAAAAAAAGATGGTTACGCTGACCCCCATTCAAAGTTACACCCTGTATATATCAACTAAGTTATACCTTAAAACTATACTTTATGAACTTTAAGAGTTTAAAAATTAAGGTTACCTGTATTCCATTTTGCACAATAGCTTCCGATTCAACATTAGCCGTGGTGTCTGACAAAGAAGGTTCGGGTGGATTTTCTAAAGGTGTACTCAACTGCTCAGTTACTTCAACGGGCTCCTGTAAAGCCTCATCTATTCCTGCACCTTTAACATCAATATTATCTACGGCAGCAGACTCAGTGGCTGATGATTCTGCTGGCACCTGTAGTTCCACTATACCTTCCCAACCATTTTCACCGTATTCTATACTCGCAACTACGTCGTTATCAAGAAGAGCGTCAGTAGCAACAGTTGTAAATACCTAAAAAAATTCAAATCAATATATTACGTATTTAGATAACAGTTCTAAAATTTACCTGAACACAAAGAATACAGATCTCCAAAAATTTGTCCGACAATTGGCGTAACTTGTCAAAATCAACATCTTCACCGTTACCATAATCTATATAAGACACTGAGGCCTGTGTGTCACTAATATTTATTACCCTGGCTCTATACCAGTTTCCATCATCGCTCTTAACTGCATACAGAAGTTCCACCTCGGGTATAATCGTCACATCTTGTGTCGTATTTTCGTACGATTCGTACATCTGGTCAAGCAAATGAGCTACGATATCTGCGTATTCCACTGGTTGAATAAATACAGACATGCCATCCACGTGCGAAGCATAACCTGCTAAGGCGGAACGTAAGATGAGTATTGGACATGGAAGTTCTACCATATCGCAAGCTCCCTCGTCAGGGCTCAATACTTCAATCTTAGATCCTTCGATATCGTATAATGTAACGTCTAACCTAAAAAGTTGGCAACGCTGTTTATATTTAAAAAAAAATTATTTACTTATAGATATTTAAAATGAAGAATTAAGACTGAAATCATTATGGAACATTTCATTACTAACAAGATTATAAAACCTCAATCCTTTATATGTGACATCACTTTTTGTCTCCTGATCACGAATCTGGTGTCAGAATTGAGCTATCACATCACAGGAATTGTCTAACCTCAAAAAACAGGTCTAAAATAGCAAAAATTCACGAAACAGAGCTAGGAATATGAAAAAAAAATTTTCTTATTCAAATGGACCTGAATTGACCTTGGATCCATGATCAGCGACCCCGAAAACCTAACAAATTTGGTGCGAATGTGTTATTTTTTGAAAATTTTGTCGGCCATCTTGGATCCGTCATCTTGAATTCTGCAAAGTGACCCCGAGAACCCCAGATAGCAAATTTGGCGCAAATCTGCTATTTTTTGAAAATCTGACCTTAATTGACCCGTTTTTTTTTAGGTTAGAAAAAGAACCGTCAATTCTAACCGCGGATTCACGTTCTGCGAGGTCTTAGCCATATAAATGAACATTTGAATATAGAAAAAAAAATTTGTATTTTTCCTACCACTTTTTCGTGATTTTTTGCTATTTTTGACCTATTTTTTGAGGTTAGGAAATTCCTATGGATAACATATATCACATGAAGAGTACAGACAACTTTTTTTTGTGAGTGGCTGTGTAACAATTAAAGGAATGAAATGGATCTATACGTTTTTACTTATACAAAAAATTTAGTGATACAAAGTAGATGTAAAACATGTATCGGTTACTAAAGTAGATACTGCAGTCAATTATGTTTAAATAATAAAATAACAAATCTTTGAACTGGAGTTAATAAAATATGATCTAAATCACTTTCTTTCTAAACAGAGTTATCAATTGAGAACTGAGTCTTTTGGCACATCCCATTGATATATTTCTTTTCGTTATTAACCAAAATTAATGCTAAAACTCAAGCACACGAATGGTACAAAATATTCAAACATGGCCGAAAAGTGATTTAACACATTCTGGTCATCCTTCAATGTCTTCAACTGAAGAAAACATCTCTAAAGTCAAGGAAACATATCTTACGAATCAGTTCACACCATTTTAGTTTGTGTTTTGAAATGCGTCGCAGCACGATTGGTTTCAAAAGAGCCGAATTTTCTTCAAAATGAGCATAGCAAACATGTTAACGAGTGACATGCAAACGAGCCAACGAGCTTCGGAATGACGCATTTCTAATGAGCCGAAATAAAAAAAAACACTTCCATGGCGATCAAAAATCAAAGTAATGTTTTCTTTAACTATGGTGGTGTTGTTGACACAGAATTCCTTCCGGATGGAGAAACAGTCAACAAAGAATATTATCTGATTGAGTGTCTGCCGCAAAAAAAAACAGATTTATGGAAGGACAATTGTTGGATTTTGCACCACGATAATGCAACATCGCACCAAACGATAATTGTGTATGATTTTTTTGACCAAAAACTCAACGAATGTCATCAAGCAGCCACTCGACTTTTTTGTCGAATTATCACTTCGTGGAACACATTTTAAGTCAATAGAGGCCACAAAACAAAAATTACTGAAGAAGTTGAAGTCCATACTGGAATAAACATTTAAAAAGCATTTTGAAGAACGAGCTGTTCGTTGGAAAAAGTGTATTGCTTCAAATGGAGTTTATTTTGAAGGAGACAAAATAAACTTTGATGATTAATTCAATATATGTATTATGTTTTATTGACAAATTCCAGATACTTATTTTAAAGAATGTACGTTTTAACATGACTGTTTCCTAGATCAGTCAGTACATAAAACGCCCTGTGTTGTGTTGTGTGTTGACTGAAACCGTAATAACTGTATAACATTGGATTTGCATAGACTTGAATAAAATTATATAGGAGTGTAGTATATCTGGCCCAATCAAAAACATAATAAAGGTATTGTTAAAAAATGTCAGGTCTGAGCTCAATTTTTTTAATGTTATCTTCGACGAAAACAAATCACCCCTATACAATTTTTTGACAAATGTTAGTAATATTGTCTGAAGTTATTTATTTGTGACGTGAAAAAATTTAAAGTTATTGAAATTATCATCTAAAAATACTTACTTATCATCTATCACGTTATCAACATATATAATCACAGCACGTTCCAGAAAACGTTTCAAATTGTTCTCATCAGTCGTAACAGCCTCTTCCAGGTTATGCATTTTACAACTAAGAGCTACCCCACATTCTAAAGCTATGATAATATCACTGAAATTATTTACACTCTTGAGTATAGCCCTGAACTGTTGGCCCAACAGTAATGGAATTTCTATGTCTGGAATGATTTTTTTTGTTGAAACAGCCAGTGCATCTTGAATCAGGAGTTGCTTTACATCATTGTTGTCATAGAAGATGTCCACGTAAGTCCTACCAATCACAACATTATCATTGGAACGTTATTGTGTTACAGGCTATTCTTGTTATTATTTATAAACGCAATAGGGTCATTTCCCTAAAAAATTGTGTACAAAATGGGTAAGTTATACATATTGAAGGATAACACAGCTCCAAAATTAATTTCTTGAACATAAATTTAGAAATTTTATGTTGTGGGAAATTAACGTTATAATAGTTTCTAAAATTGAAGATTAGAAAAAAAGCAGAAAATAAATGACAATTTTAACATACTGAAATTATTGAGGCAAATAGATTAGTCAGCTATAGATAGACATAGAATAAATTTAATTAATACAGATTTAACTCGTATGTCAAGAGTCTATATTGAAGTTCCCAACTTGATCATAGATAAAATCTAAATGTTAGTGTCATCACTCTTATTAAAATAAAGTCAGTTTTAACTTGGTTCATGATTTTTTAGGAAAATAAAAATTTTTCTTTGGATTTACTGTGAGATTACTCAAAAACGACTGATATTTTTGTTTCTAACAGATCATATCTGCCAAATGGGACTCACAGTTTTATTTCCACTATAAACATGTTGTAACTTATAGCTCGATTTATACCATAAACAAAAAATTGAAAACATTTTTTTCCCGGCCTTTTAAAAAATAAGCAAATTACACCTTCTGCTAAAGTGGCACCCGCACATTTTCTGGCAGGGACGCGCTCTGGCAGACCACAAGCGTTCAAATTTGGAGATCACGTCATACATATGAGGGGGGATACGTGTATAGTATGTAATGCAACTCGCAACCTGCAAACCTTAGTTTATTTCAGACTTACTCAGTAATAATGGCATTTAATATGTATGCAATTACATACTTTTAAAAAATTATTTGTATCATTCATTACATATTTTAACATTTTAAATTATCAACTGAAGTGAGCAACAAAAAACATGAGTTTCTAAAATAGTCGATACAACCGTTTATTTATGATGTCTAACTAATACTAGGAAATTGTTTAAATTTGGCAGCGTTGCTTCAGGCCAACATCAGGATCATTCAGGACAGGAGCAGTGCGAGTTAACGATTTGAAAATATTTTTTTTCAGCGTAAATATGCATTTTAAAATATTTTTACCGCGTATTCGTATTCTATTCATGTTCCCTTAAAATTAATGACATTATGACTTAATCAATTTGTATACTTGAGAAGTTAATAAATAAATAGCGGAGATGTATCGTTCACAATTGATTCATTAGAAAATAATGAACCAGTTTGCTAAATCAAATAAATCAAGTCAGTGTTCACAACAAATTCGATAACTTTTCTGATTCAGTGGCTCCATTGAGGAATCGTAAGCTGGAATTTTATCTATCTAGCCAAATCGTAGAATCGACTTTAAAATAATGAAATAAAATATATGACGTTTTTTGCACAAAATTAAAAAAATTACAATGACAGTAATTATATTACTGCTAAAAGTTTTAATAATTCTCAATGATGTTACCCGCATAAAATATTTCAATCTGCAATACAAAAATTATTTTATTTTTTACTTACTTTTCTTCATCTTTATTCACGAATTTGCACACGTATCTATCTTTATCAAAATAAGTGCTATAGTTATCAGCATTAGGCCACTGGTCGCCAGGAGGTGCAATTTCGTTTAAACTGCACACAATCGCTTGTGCAGGGAGACTCATGAACTTTTTCTCAATCGGCCAAATTTTGGTGATACTGGAAACATTTCCGAAATCTACATAATAGACTTTGTATTGGCCACTTAAGACCTCTAATACTTGAGCTCTGTAAAGGACGTTGTCTTCAGGGAAAAGACCAATGATTGGAGCTCCAACGACAGCCGATTCTGGTCTACGGCCTTTATAAAACTGTTGAATTTCAGTCATTAAATTCTTAAACTGATCCTAAAAAATGTATTCGTTTCGGTATTATAAAGGGTATTCGAACAAATAAGTGAAAAATTTAAGAATTTACTCAAAAACAATAGTACAAGTTTCAATATTTTTTCAAAAACTCAATATTAATGAAGTTACCTCAGACATTTACTTTAATTAATGATTTGTTATCTTACTACTCACGAAAAAAATATCACGATTCTAAATATATAATAATTATGAGTGACCTTTAGAAATTAAAATATCGATTTGAAATTTTCAGAATCGAAATTTTTTTCAACCTAAAAAATGATAAAATAACGAGAAAAAAAATTAAAAAAAAAATTTTGACAATTTTGGAAATTTTTAAAAATCTTGAGCGACCTCTAAAAAAATCTTTTTTGTGCAGATTTTTTGAGGGGGCTCTTAAAACATGATAAACTAACATATTTTCACGAGACGAAAAAAATTCGTTTTTTTTGGGCCACCCTAATACAAACAGACAATTGGTTTCACTATTTTTTAATGCAAATAAAATAGTTGCAATCGATTATCTAATCAATGAGAGCATTTTGAGCTACTTTTTGTCTTAGTTGCTGTTTATTACGAATAATAAATTATTCAAATTCAAAATTTCGTTCAAGTTGTAAAAAGTTATGGTAAAATATTAATTAATAAAAAATGCCATGAAATTAAACAAGTTCGTTAATATTGAGTTTTCGAGAAAATGCCATAATAACTAGTACAATTATTTCTATAAGCAGAATCATACCTAAGTTTTTTGTTCATAGTCTTCAGACAATCCATATAGCATAATTAACTTTCTGCAAATAAAAATAATTTAAACGACTGTTGAATTTACCTGAACATCAGCCAGCTGACAGTAAAAATGGCCAGGGTTATGAAACCAACTTATAATAACATCCGACACAGTTCCAATCACCTCGCATGGCACAAAAGTTGCAGTGGCTGGTGCGGCATCTATTACAGAAGCCACTACGCTCACATCCCAAGAGTCATCTGTCTGAGTGGTACTAGCAAAGGGTGCGCTTCTAGGTTTGTCAAATTTTTTTTGATACTGAGGTCTGTCGTTTCGAGAACTTGTCCTCGGACCCTTCTGGAAGCTTTTTTCAGAGCCACTTGAGCTGATGTCACTACCATCTCTATAATAATAACAATTTTTATAAAAAATAATAAAAATAAATATGTATGTATTTATATAAATTATATTCCACACGTAACGGAAATGTGACTTAGAAAATAATATTTTCATATCCTTGGAATTTTCTGAGCCAATTTTTATAATCAGATCAAGGGGTAAATATATTATTATTACTGTTAATTATTGGTTGGGTTATTACAGGAGACTATTGAAAATGAAAATGGAAAAGCTTTCCAAACATTCATATGCTATCTGCTACAGTATTTAAGTTATACCTTGAAAAAGTATGTAGGTACTTCCTATTTTTTTTTTTTTTTTTTTTTTTTTTTAAACAAGTTTATAAAGTCAGCCCTTAATACTCTTTGACACAAGGAGATATAATGGACATTCTCTTGGATGGAACCAACGGGACAATAAAATTTGTCCATCCAAGAAATTTTCCAAAAATAGTCAAAGAATCAACATTTCCCACTCAGGCAGCCAAATACCTCACACCTTGTAACGACATAAATGAATAAACTAAAAAGTAAATCGATAGCAAATGGTGGCTGAAATCGGAAATTCCTAGCAGCCCATTTTGCACCTTAACTGTTGAAATATGAAGTTCTGGTATTATTGATTGACAGCAAAAATTGATCTTAAAGAGTTAGGAGCACGTTTTAATGATTCATATCATCATATCATGATGAATATTCACTTTTATTTGTTTTTGTCCCTTCAGGAAAAAAATGTGTCTAGCTTAGGGGTAAGATTTTACTGTATTTATTTTAATTTAAATGTGGCGGGAATACCTGATTATATAAAAAAAAACACTTCATTTCAGATAAACGAGGCAAAGTATCTTTTTCTATTCAAAAGTGGACAAAGATTAGATTATTTTTGTTACTTTTCATTTTACAAAATATGGCCCCAAGGTATACATAAATAAACATAGATGTTATTTAGGTGTATCAAATTTTAAATAGGCCACATGTATACACCTTCATGTATTGTTTATTTTTGTTAGATAAAATTTTCAAGCTCAAAGTTTTTTTTTATAAACAGTTGCAATCATTTTTATGATGGGGTTATATTCCATATTCATAAGTTAAATTCTATATAAACTTTATATAAACAAAACATTTATAAAATAAAATTATTAAATAGGGCAATTACTTTATTGACATTTCATTTAAATTCCTCAAAATAATATTAAAGTGAGGGAATGATCAGACATCTGGAGCTCGATTCTTGACGGTGAGAGAATAGAATACTCCCTGGGGAACGTTCCCTCATTTCGCTCTACTACTGTTCTATCAGAAAATTCATACTGTATTCTCGACACAAAGGGATCGAGCCATGAAAGTGAAGAACGAGGAACAATGTTGTCAAATGTACCAACCAATCAGAAAGCAGTAAATAAGCGGTACAATGAAAACTAGTGATGAGCTAGTCATGAAATAAGTGCTACTTTAGAGTTATTGTTATTTGTCTGTCAGTCAGGTGCAGTCTAAAAAAAAAAAGGAAATGGAAATTAATAAAAAACCGAAGCTAAATCCAGTAAGTTCTAAACAAAAAGACTTCTAATAATACTAATAGAATATATTGAGCGTAAAAAACAAATGTATACTGGAAAGTTAACACCCAGCTGAACTAGAGAAAATGACGGCTAGCTGGGAAGAACTTACAAATATTATATTACTGTATTAGGGCAGATCCATTTTATTCTATTATTATTTTATTCGTGTATTGTACAATCCTTCAAGTAAACATAAATTATACGAACGTTTCCTCAAATTTCTCGAAGGATATCACCACAAAACAATAATTGGAAATATTATACAGTTTGCGGAATTCGTAATTTGTGAAACATGTCAAAAAATATAGGGTTAGGTTTAATGATCCCTGCCTGTTCCCCCGAAAATATCAGTAGAAGAAATAGGGAACAATTCTTCTATCATTACTCAATAGAACACCTTTCAAGAATACCGATTAATGAGTTTCACTAGACACGTCCCCTTTCTCTGGTTCCTTCTACTCCCTATAATTCAAGAATAAAGTCCCTACATTGCCCGTTTCAAAATTAAGAATTTATATTAATTTTTATATTTACATTGGCAATTATGTAGTTACTTATTATGTGGTCTGGACGCTCAATAACAGTTGCTTAAGTGGATCCTTTTTTTTCACAAAACAATTGAAAATCAAAAAAATTTAAAATATATATTAAATATTTTACATAAATCTTTTCTCAAAAATTATTTAAAAAATTAGAAACTAGACTATTGTATTTTTGACACTATAGTAGTATATACTTACTTCCTAAAATCGTTCTTTTTCTTAAATCCTCCAGGTTTTTGACCACCAGAATTCCAGCTGTCTTTATTGAATCTGTAAATTTGAACAGTTGAAATAATTGGGTGTTCACAATTTAAAAAAATTCTTGCCTGCTGCCTTTGTTGCGACCAAAGTCATTTTCTCTAGAATTATTCTGGAAACCTGCATTATTAGCTGGTGTTCCCCAGTCATCATTCTCCTGAGGCTTACTATTAGCTGTATCCCAGTTGTCAGTGTTTACATTTTCCTTGTTATTCCATTCGTTCCTGTTTCGATTCTTATCTCTATTAAATCTTTCACTATTTGGGCTAAAGTTAAATATGAATTAATTTAAAATATGATAATATAAAATGCTTTTACCTAAATCCTTTGTTATTCTGACGCCAAGAATTTTTATCGTTATTCGTTTCGTTTGAATTTCTATCGTTAGTTCTACAAAAATATTTATTTTAAATTTTAGATGTAACACATGTGCTTATTATTCAAAATAAATGTAAAACCTTTTATAATTCTCAAGAATGCTATTTGAAATACAAACCGTTAAATCAATTCTCATTTAAATTTTTTTAAAATTATCATTTAGACATCCCTTGAAAGCTAACAGAAAAGTGAAACCTATTAGATTAACAATTGAACTATTTTCTTTTTTTGGAACCCTTTAAAATACATCCTCAATAGCTTACCGAAAATCTTTTTTATCTTGCCTCCAAGTGTTTTCATTTCTATCGTTCGTTCTGAAAAATAATAAATAACATTTCAAATAGTCTGTACTGTAAACAACTTTACCGTCCAGGTTTACGGTCCTGTCGAAAATGTTGTTCCCTGGGACCATTTTGGTTGGAAAATGACTTCCGATGTTCTATTTTATTACCGGCCTGTACCAACATTGGACTAACCTGGGACTTGGCAGATGCCAATTTGTCTAACAGAAGAGAGGCAATATTATAGTCGGAGTCATCAAATAACTCTACCAGAGCTTTTTTGTTAGTCATTTCGGCAACTTTCATTGTAAACTGTCTTTCTAAAATTAATTCTTCAAGGAAACCATCTCTCTGAAGGTCCTCATCCATATTTTGGTAACCATTTAAACAGCATTCTATTGCTTGAGGTCTAAGGACAGTTAACTGCTCTCCATCTATTATTTTCAGTTGAGCACAAGGGACTACCTCTTCATTTCCATAGTCAATATAACGAACTTTAATGGTGTCACCTAATACTTCCACTATCTGACTCCTATACCATTGCTGATCTGACTCAAATAAAGCACAACACGGTAGACCCACTTTAAGGGTACTTGGATCCATAGATTCATTTGTCTGACAAGATGCTTGTAAGTCTAGCATAAGTTTCAAAAGTTCGTTTTCTTTACTAACTAGTTGGACATAAAATCTACTGCAGCTATATACATAGCTAACTTTTACAAGTTGGCTGAAGCCTCTGGTAAGCGAAACAGGTTCAGGGTAAGCATTTTGTGCTGCACGATTTACAACATCCAAAGCACTGGTCTTTGTTTCTGGATCCCACAGTTCACATTTAGGTATGGCCATTCTAGTTGGGGTTGGAAGAACCTTCATGTATAATAATCGATTGTCGACAAATTGTTTAAAAGCACACTGCATTTCAAGGGTTACAGTTGATTTTTCTACCCCGGCTAAGGAAAATCGAATCGCCATTACTCTAGGGATGACATATTTGAATGGAATTTGATAAAGAGCATCTAATGGTACTACCTCATAGTTGCCAAAATCAACATAGAATACCTGAAATAAAATAAATAATCCAGAAAAAAAACAACCATTTGTACACCTACATATACCTTTCAATTGGTATCATTAGATATCAGATAGCATATCATATTATAAAATTATGTGAACAAATATACTTATATTTTCGTAGAAGTATGCTGAAAATTTAGTGAAATCTTGATATTTGATACCGCAAAAACCCATGACAAATAAAATATAATAAATTAATCCAAGTGTTCCCAAGGGGCGAGTGCGGCCTAGTGACTTGACATTCATGTCATTGATATGAAGTCAAGCAACACTGATCTCGGTTTAGTACTTAGATATGTGACCATCCCGAGAAGGCTCGCAATGCTCTTCCACCTTCTAGTGGCCTGTATGTTGGTGTTTTCACAGAAGCTATATAAATTTAAGTGAGGTTTGTATATAAAGATATACCATCCCTCAGATATGATGTAAAACCATTGGATTCTTGTCTGAACAATGTTAGGCAAGTGAGTGATCCCCACCCTATGGTAAAGTGGGTGTTCGGCGAAATTTACAGGTTGGGGGTAACTCGTTTCCTGCCGTTGGTGTTTAGCCATAGTAGCAGAAATAGACCGATGTATAATAAACAAAAAAACAAGCTAGCAAGTATCCTCCCCAAAAAAAAAAGAAATAAAGAACTATATTTTAATATTTGCATACTACTTTATATTTTCCTAATAAATTATTACATAAATAAGATATTTTTTCAGAGGAAACTGCTTCTTTAGATGACTGAATATACAAATTTACTTATTTCAATTTTTTCTGAATTGAGGTTTTCTGTCTGAGTTGTATGCAAGGTGATTCAGTCATAATGTCATTAATTTTAATCACGTATTCGGAGATTTAATAGACAGAAAATAGGAAAAAAAAAATTTTATTCGACTTTTAAAAATAAAGGAAATCAACCCATAATTCCCGCTAAAAAGGCGGCCCTGCCAGATGCCCGGATGCTCGGAAAATTTTGTAACGTAATGTCACAAACAAATCTTCAACTGAAGCGAACAGCGTTGCCAAGTTCACATCATAATCTGTGTTCACATTTAATTAATCCGCTTTAGTATAGGGATACATATGTATGAAACCAATAAAATGCAAGTAAATAAAGGATCATCCTGCATTTTACTATAACTAATTTTAATAATTTAGTGCAAAATGTTTTAACAAGCCCGACTTCTCGAAGTTAACTTTTGTTAAAAGAAAATAAATAAAGCAGAGGTTTGTAGGCACACTGTATTTTATCAAATAAAAAAAGTCGGCACACTAAATACCCGAATATACAAAATACACTACACATGGTTACAAAACCATTACCTAACAATTTCAAGCATTTATTCAAATCTACCACCCTCCATATCTCCCGCATTTTTCCCGCAAAAGAGTTAACATAACACATTTTCAAAAAGTTCAAGCTTTAGAAGTAGCCGATTTCCCCAATCGTCTTAAATTTTGCAATTGGTTCCTAAGTGCAGCAGAACTTTATTAACAAAGTGCTCTGGATGGATGAATGCTGTTTTACTCGTGCTGGCATTTTAAACAGGTAAAAAACATAAGTATTGCTTTCTCAAAAACAATAAATGCCTACCTAGGTTACACCAAAGTTTAGATTTACACTAAAGTTTACATTTATTATGTAAACTTTGGTGAAAACGTTAATAATATTAAAAATGATAAATTGTAATAACCGTACATTCGAAAACAATCATCCCTATTCATTAATGACACGATTTTCCTTTGATAAAAGACCGACCACTTTTCACTCTACCTTGCATGGAATATGATCCTACTAAAGTGCATACGTGCAAATTAGAAGGTTATTGACCTCGACACAGGTTAACCTAGGTCGGAAATACGTACCGAGTTGTTTATTTGTCTCCATACGATTGTATTTTTATATTCTATTACTTACAGTCAATATTTAAATACTACATACATTTCACCCTCTTTATAATTTATCTAGTGAGTGTTGGTTTTTTACGTCATTATTTCTGTAATGAATTTGAAATGGTTATGAAATGAGATTTAAATTATTTGAACACTTGGGGTTTTGTAATTTCAATATTAAATTTTATTTAAAGTGAAACAGAGCTAATTTCTTTGCAGCCATAATAGTCACATTTGGTCAGATGAAAACCCGCACACTACTCGTCGATTTAGATTTCAGAGGAGGTTGGGTGTCAATGTATGGACAGGAGTATATGGCGATCGTTTAATTGGGGCGCATTTTCTGCCTGTACATCTGAATGGGCCGCGTTACTTTCAATTTTTAGTAGAAGGCTTACAGCAAATTAAAAAATTATCACTATGATGTTAATCTATATTGTTATCTATGATGTTAATGACTTTTGGCAAGTCATGCTCAGACCTCCTCGAGGTTCTTGCTGGGCAACAATAAGAATTTAATATGTTGATTGCATAATTATAAAAAAATAATTTATAGCATTTTAAATTATTATTGGCTGACGTGAGCAAGCCGTTTATTTATTGTCTTTATATGTGCGAAAATATATAAATATGGCAACATTGCATCTAGGTCGCTTTGTTCATATCGTAGCCGGCTAACGTTAGCCGGTCAGTAACAGCCTGAAAAGAGGGTTAAATAATGATTTGAAAACAATTTTTTTCAGCTTAAATATGCATTTAATTTTTTTTTTTAATCACGCCATCGTGTTGTACTCATTTTTCTCTATCTGCTATTCAAATTAATGACATTATGACTGAATCACCCTGTATAGTAATAATAGATAAATACGGATACTGATAAAAACACAGACTATTCCAATTAAAATTTTCAAAAAAAATTGATTAGATAGGTACTTCCCTTTCCTGTTTATGTAACTACTGTTATCCAATAAAATTAATCTTTAATTTTAGAAATGAAGAACGTTTCAAAAAGATAAAATTCATCTTATCTATTATTTTCCGTCCGTTAATAAGCAAAAATAAAGATTTTTCTCTTCAAACATATAATTTTGAAAATAAATAAAATGTATAACTATAATATGTGTACTTATATTCTTTTGAAGCACTAAAAATTGTTCAAAGGTAAGTAGTTATTCCGCTATTTTATCCTTCAGTTTATTAGTTATTATAAATTAACTTTAATGATAACATAACCTATCAAAGAAATTCTTCAAATGAATATTTTTCAATCATTAAACTATTATATCTGCCCAAGATATAAAATTATACTGAAAATTAACTGCCATTATTTTCACAATTTTTTACTTTAAAATTACACACAATGTAAAAGGAACATGTACCACTCACCTTAAATTGATTATCAACTTCATTGGTAACAACGGCTCTACAAATGTTACCATCTTCTTGACAGCGTGCAAGACAAATGGTACCAGGAATTGGAACATCTTCTAAAAGCCTTAAAGTAATCGTGTTTATATCATTCATAAGCATTACTAGTACTTCTTCAGTCTGTTTCAGCTGCACCGAAAAATGACATGGTCCATCGTTTACATATGAAACATAGACCGGATACTGGCAACCAGGTTCCAATGTACAAGCTTTATAAGTATTTATTCCTGTAGCTACTGTTGGTGCAGCCTGAGATGGTAACAAATTAGATCGCTGCATACTCATGCTTAATAAAACTGCCTGCTGTGCTTGCAACGAAATGGGTTGCATAAGTCCTCGATTAATCAACAGGCCACATAAGTCGCTACCTCCAACATATAGCTTTACTAGATAATATTGAGTAGCTTGGGTGACTAATGTACACTGAACCTCTCTGTACTTAATTTCTTTTGAAATATTCTCCAAAATGGTATCGTTCCATTCCCCTCCACCTGGACAATGAGCCTCTGCGAATATAAATCCTGTTGCTAGTGGAGGCACAGATATAAATGAAGATGGAAAATTTTGCAAACTTCGAATATTAGCACAAGGTACCAAGTCTTTATTACCATAATCTATGAAGCTAACCTCAACAAAACCCTCAGTCAAAAATGAGGCATTTGTTATTCTAGCTCTATAATATTTATTATCTTTATATTTAGCACAAACTAAAGTGCCTGCCTGTAAGCTGTCTACGGAAATTTTGCCTACACCTAAATCGAACTGGGGACTGGCCCCCAAAAGAAACTGTTCCACATATATCGAATTGTTTTTTTCTGTTTGGCCCCACACTTTCAAAAATGGGCCTTCTTTTTCAACATATGTTATATATAAATTTACAGTTTGAGAGATTTCCATGATAATATCAGATCACAAACCTAGTCTACCATTACTGTACAACATGGACCAAGGCAGCAAGACACACGACCGGCATCGAATAACTATTTTTTTTAAACGGCAAACGGAAAATGAAAATGCGAGTAGTAAAAATAGCTCCCTCTGTCATGAAAAATAGAAAAAATGTCAACTAGATTTGTCATATAAAAACGCGGGAATTTTAAAATGTGAACTTAGTAGCCCAATAAATCATTCATGCAGAACGTTTAATATAAAAATAATTTGGGTATGATACTACTGTTGTGAGTCATCGTCAAAATACGTAATACCGTAATAATTAGCCTGCACAGCCCAATATGTAAAGGTTATGTTACTAAATATGATAAATACTTGTTATCCCCAGTTAAAAATAATCGTTTCAAGTACCTATGATTGTAAGATAATCAGGATGTAATATAGATTTTATTTTAAATTATAAATAATATTATTATGAAACACTTCCTACTCACCTCTTTGAAGATGGTCCCGTTAGTCACTCCGTCATTGGGAAAAGAGGCCCCCCGCAATTTTACTTGTTAATTTGGTTGCATAAAATAAAAAATGAAGATGTACTGATTTTTGTAGGCAGTAAATCAAAACTATCTGTGGCAGAGAGTTATGAGCTGGAGGTACCTACCAACTCTAGTATGCGACTAAAAGCGTCTTAATTCCATTTGCAACATGCTTTCACTTTACTGACGCCTGTAAATTACTTTGTAAAATTTTTTACTGGTAGACTTAAAAATTGAAATAAATATATACCTACAAGGCGCTTATATATAAATGCTTGGTTAAACTTTGATGAAGGATTATTTGTTATAAATTAACTAAAACCATTGCCGTAAATATATCAGGAAACATTTTCATTTTAAATAAGTATACAGGGTGTCAAAATATATACATCAATTTCATTATAGATTAGCAAATAATAATTAGTTTAAAAAATAATTTGTTCAAGCTTTTTAGCAATATACAATATACATAGGTACCCATGCAACATCACTCTAAATATTTTATATCATTTACCAGAAAACCGCATTTTGTACATAAAGTGAGAAGTTTCCTCGCAGAGTACCTACTACTTTTTTTTTATAAAATGTAGAAAAGTTAATGCAAAATGTCGAATCCCGCTCACAATAATATAGAACGGTGCGTCGATCTCCATAGATCGAAGGAATAAAGTAAATTGAAACCTTTTTGATTCACTCTAGTTTAAATGTCCTGCCTGTCCACCATTCTATACAGGGTGTCCGCAAATTTCACCGACAACGTTTGACTGCATATTCACGACGATAAATAAATACGATCTACGAATAAAAGTTAAATAAAAAATTTTTGATTTTTGAGTTGCAGTCCTTCAAAGTTGTCACAAATAAAATTAATTTAATTTATATCTTCATAACCCTTTTACCGATCACATTCAAATTTGCCACATTTATTTGGACTATGATTTCAGAAAGCTTTAGTCAAATCGATATACTGGGTGATAGTTTTCTCCAGTTACCTCCCCCTTTTAGCGGTCAAAACTTTTACGCAGTAGTCGTATTTTTTTTAAATGGGCAGCAACATTGAAACGGTCGTTTTATTTAAAAAAAATATTATCTATTGAGAAAATCGCCTGCAGACAGCCATTCTTGAGAAAAACGGTGTTATTTGCAGGTCTGTATGTTTAGATTTGTGTAGCAATGTCACGGATTCTCATCACTTTAAAATTACAAATGTATTGAACTTGCTACGGAAGTTTTTAGTAAAGTCTTAACAAATATTGCAACAAATTGTAAAGAAATGTTGTAGTAAGAATAATATCTACAGATTTACAATAAACGTAAAGTTGTTGGGTGACCATTATATAATTTGTTGTAAATTTCTTGCAAACCTATAAACACTTTTACATTAGGTACATCAGTTTTATTTGTAAATAGTTGGAAATGTTTCAGCAATTTTATTTTTCTTAGTAGAATCCATTACGGAAGTCCTAAAAACTTCTTTATTAGGATATATCTGTGCTATGTGGGCACATATCCTCGTAATCATTGGTGTCAATAAAAAAAAAGTGTTGAAATTTAACAGTTTTGCTTGTTTAAAAAATAATCTGCAACATATTTTTATTTCTAAAAAATTAAGTAGGCCTTGTCAAGAACACAACAATTATTAACTGTGTAGATAAACTGCCTTTTTTGCATATCAAAAAATTTCCTTATAAAAACTTCTTCAGAATGAAAATTTATTTTCATATTACTTTGAAAGCAATCGTCCTACTTTAATTTTTCAATTTCTCCATACTGTATCGTAAGTTGCTACCCGCTTGTGGGTGGTAAAATAAAATTTTAATAGATTTTCCTTTCCAAGGACAATAAGGCTCTCTCCGACTATAGGGTTGGCCCTAGCTCAGCTCAGCAACGGGGGTGGGGCTGATATAACTGAAAATAATTCTCTTAAGGCGCCACCCGTTTTACAACCCGATGGACAATACGCAAGAAGGCTGGAGAGACGCCGAAACCTTACAGTACAAAAAAACAAAAACGGGAAAAAGGTACAAATAAAATCCCTAAGAAAGTAACTATACAAACGGTAACTTTAATTTATCTAAATGGCCGGTGCCTAAAGGCTACAATCGCTAAATCAATTTAGATATAAATATTGGCCGATTATGCACCTTTTAGCCTGCGTTGTTTAACCAAGGTCCGGGGTTATGATACCTTGGACTTCCACTGGCCATGAATCACCCGGTATATGAGGATGAAGTAGGAAAACACCCAGCACACTAACAGCGACGAAGACGGTGACGTTGAGGGTGAGAGTGCGAATATAATGAGATGAAATTAAAACAAGGATGAGTGCGAGTACGAGGACGATTACGAAGACGAGGCCTTTGTTGTAGGGCGGCCTCGTGGTGAATGGTACCTTATGTCGGATTTTATGGGCACAAATCCAACCAACAACGGTTGACACTGGATTCACCAGAACTGACAAAACAAATTTTTGCCCACAAAATGCAGCAAGATCTGCAAAAACGATATTTATTGTAACGAGAACACACGCTGCTAGGTCGACAATTCTCTCGCGACCAAGTGCCTAGAAGGAAGTAAGAAATGCCTGAGACCAAGAAAAAAAGGAAAGAAAAAGTCCGTTCGGCCGTATATCGACAGGGAACTTTATATTTACCTACCGACGATAATTTAATGAACAAATTGAAATATTTTGGGAAAAATACAAATTAAACCATACCATAATATTTGTTTAAAATAGAAAATACTTAAATACCCTAATTTACCTAAATACCTAGCTATTTTTAATAGGGACTAATATAAATTTAAATAAAATAGTAAGAAAAAAAATAAGCCCGTAACAAAGTGCTCTTCTTTTATATAACACACAATGATTTTATTTGAAGTTGTTCGAAAATAAAATGTCCCAAATTTGCTGGCAATCGATTTTACAAATTTAATGATTTCTAAAAAAAAAAACAAAGTAGACTGACTATCTTCAACCTTATTATTGGTATATGAACATAAATTTTATAATATAGAAAATGATGTTTATACATTTTGAAGATTTTTTTAAAGAGTATTGTCTATTTGCAAAAGTTCAATATAAAAGATTTTTCATTAAGTAGGTATGTATATTGTAACAGTAACTACTTTTTCCATTCAAAATAATTCGCTGGAACAATTTTCGTACAATGTGATTCATAAACAGACTAAAGAAAAAACGCCATGAACTACTTATAAAAGAAATAATTCTGCAGAGAATACGTTTTGAGGGTATGAATAAATATTATGTACAAGGTGTAACTAAAATACTTGGCCAAATTTTAAAGACAGATTCAACGTGGCAAGTCGACAAAGAGAGTTACTGTAAACAAATGTCTTGAAAGTCTTAATTTTTGAGATAGAGGATGTTAAAAATTTCAGAAATATTTGATTGTTTTAAATTTAAAAAAAACCGACAGACAATTTCATTCAAATTTGAAATGTAGCTTTAATTTTTCATCATCTGAAAAAGTAGGTATGAATAAGTATTAAAGGTTTTCCAAAAGTAGTTCCGTTACAGCATTATTATATACATATATATATATATGGAAAACTTCTTGAACCTTTTGTCTTCTAATTGGGAATTATATTTCTTAGGTATCAGGTTCTAGTTTGACCGCTGGTCAAAATGATAAAAAACACACAGCAATAATTTAATAAAAACTAGGTTCACTTTTTTCGATCAAACTTCAGGAATCAATACATTATCAAAAAATAATGTTAGTTTGCTAAATAAACTATACCCGACAAATGTTTACTTTTTGAGATACAACACGTTAAAGTTTCCCGAAAAAAAATATATTTTTCGAATTTTTCTTTAGGTGATGAGGTTTCACCCGTAATATTCTTATAAATTTTTCACTTTACCAGTGGCGGAGAAAATAGGGGTCCCCATTGTTTTAGTAAAAAAATATTAGTACGCCACTGACTTTAAATTTAAAAACCAATATTTTTTGGATTCTCCGCTTAATTTGGGACAAAAAATTATCCTTGTAAGTTTTTCGTAACTATTATCATTTTCAAGTAAAATTTATTTACTTATTTCTATACAATAACGTGGACATATTACCATGCGAATTTATTATTTATTATGTTTTACTTGCCTAAACATAATTTGCCTAATTCTAATACAAGTGTACATAAAAATCTGATAAGTCGAGAGTTTCTCAAATCGTAAGACGCCTTCGATATTCTTCAAGATTGTTTGGCGTTGCTATCGCAATTTCCGTAAACGTGCATATCACTTCAATCCCGTACAAGATCTACATCCAGGAGATGCTGAAAAAAGGTTAAGCTTTTGTCGCTGGATTTTAAACCGTTGGCAGTATAACAATGAATTTATTCGAAATATTTTATGGACCGATGAAGCTTGTTTTACAAGAAGAGGCACATTTAATTATCACAACAGTCATATTTGGGCCCATGAAAATCCTCATGAAGTGAGACGCCGATCATACCAGCAAGAATTTAGTTTTAATATCTGGTTAGGTGTGATGGGTGGAAATATTTGTGGACCTTATGTATTACCTCCAAGGCTAAATTCAGTATCATTTGCTAATTTTCTGGAAAATAACTTATTTCAATTACTAGAAGATATTCCCTTAAACCAAAGATATCGCAGTTGGTTCCAAATGGATGGAGCTCCAGCTCACTCTGGCCAAATAGTTCGCAACTGGATGAATGCAAATTATCGGAACCGCTGGATAGGACGTTTGCCATATGAACCGATGTTTAATGTGGAGGGGCCGGTGCCTTGGCCTCCTAGATCACCAGATCTTAACCCCCTCAACTACTATGTGTGGGATACGTTGAAAGATGATGTTTACTCTGTACCAATTGAAGACAGAAATCAGTTGCAGAGAAGAATAATAGACGCCTCTGATAATCTCAAGCAGAGGCCACATGAAATCATCACGGGGATAAATTATTTAATACGAAGATGTGAAATGTGTATTAATGCAGCAGGCAGGCATTTCGAACAACTTCGTTGGATGTTATGCAGCTGTAATTACTTTCAATAGTTTTATTAAAATATTGATTATTGAATTGATGCAGTAATTATTTTATTGTCGTTAATTCAATTGCAATTTGTAGGTCTATTGTAATAGTAATAATAAATAAATTTTACTTGAAAATGATACTAGTTACGAAAAACTTTCAAGGATAATTTTTTGTCCCAAATTAAACGGAGAATCCAAAAAATATTGTTTTTTAAATTTAAAGCCAGTGGCGTACTAATATTTTTTTACTAAAGCAATGGAGACCCATATTTTCTCCGTCACTGGTAAAGTAAAAAAAATGAAAAATTCGCCAAAGATCACACGTACAGTGCCAAATCATTTATAAAAATCTTATGGGTGATACCTCATCACCTACAGAAAAATTCGAAAAATATTTTTTTATTCGGGAAACTTTAACGCGCAGTATCTCAAAAAGTAAACATTTGTCGGGTATAGTTTATTTAGCAAACTAACATTATTTTTTGATAATGTATTGATTCCTTAAGTTTGATAAAAAAAAAGTGGACCACCCTGTATATATACTGAACTGTTTGAGATAAATGATAAAATATTAGACCACTCGACTAAGACTTTGCAGTTAATGCTTATATAACACGCAACCTTATTTTCGGATAATAGTAACACTAGTAATAGTAACAACTAACATAACATTCTTTTGAAGTTTACACGTTAACCTGCACTGAGATAGGTATTATATTAGATACTTCAAATGACTCCAAAGCTGATTAGAAAATTACGTTTACTTTTAAAATGTCACATTGACTTTTCCGAATGTCATTTTGAAAAGTACAACTTGAAAGGTATTGTAGATTCGTCAAGAAACAAAATTAATCTTCACTTTTTGTTTATCGGTACCTAATTGAAAATGAGAAAGTGCAGACTACTTAATAAAACAGAAAAGCTTTGCACTCTTTGCTTTTCAACATTTCGCTGACACATCATGAAACAGAAAACAGCCCAAAAAGCGAAAAATAATTAGGATGAAAAGTTGAAAAGTACTTAAAAAAACAGGGCACTGACCAGTTAATTAATTCCTTTTCATAAAATTGGGCCTAATGTTAATAAAGAAATGTAATATTTTAAAATAATTCTAATCAGTTAAGGAGGTTTATCTGATTTGGAATTGACGATCAAATATTAATAAAAAAATTAATATAGCTTATATTAATAAGAAAATCCTCAAAAAAAATTATGACTAGTTTGGATACCTAAGAGACGAGAAATAAATATAAAATAATTTTTCACGATTTAGTACGGAGTCATGACAATGCAGATTTTTTTGGTCTTTCCACTTAGAATGTGCAACAATTAACGAACAGTTTCCACAGCAACTTGCATAAATAGGAAACCGATATCTAAGGAATCGTATGACAGCTCGTAGAAATTGATTAGGTACTTGTAAGATACATAATTTATAATAATTGTCCTTCAAACTGCTGTCGTCGACTAACTTAACCTCCATATGCGTGATAGTGGCAATGCCGCGGTTCTCGAAGTAGCGTATTATTTGAAATTCGCATGTATGACAAAGCCAGCCAAGTGCAACGTTGCCAAATCTAAAAGCGTACTACTTTAGTTACTAGCGAATCTGCAGGAACTCTCGTTAGACTTTAGACGTACCTCTGTACCCGATAAACCTCCTTAATTAATCCGAAGAAACAGTTTCAGCGAAGGAGATAAAGAATGACAATTGTAGAAATTACAAATTTTATTATCATTAGTGGCAGTATAATAGCAACAAATATCATCGGATAATATCTATATTAGAAACTAACATTGATTTCGTAAATAAACATTGCACAAGAATAATAAATTAGTATGTCGCAGTAAATTTATAAACTACTGTGGCGCTACACAGTAACTTTAAGTTTTTATCGATACTTTGATTACATCAAAACATTTGCTACTATTTATATAAACTTAAGACAGCTTTTCTGTACAATTAAAACTACTTTAATATAAAAGTTGTAATGTACAAATATTTACAGAATACGAATAAACAATTTTTTTTAAATTAATAATCTAGTCTCTTACTCCGATAAAACGAACAATGTAATACACCACCGGTTTTAAATCAAAGTCAGATTCTTAACAGTCTTGAAAAATGAGATAAATATTTCATATACATAAGTTTTCCACTTTACACTATGTTTTAATTCTGTTTGGGAGGCTCTTTGTCAATCCTCATATCATCTATTTTTGCGACGATCTTTAACGCGGGACCTAATTTCATTGCCATGGCGGTCATTAAATGATCCTCCTTCAACAACATAAGGGCTTGTCCATCAATCTCTTGTATTAAGAAGTCTTCCGCGTAATCCGAACATCCCGGGAGATTTTTTATGAAATCGAACACCTCTTGCACCTGTAAAGAAAAAATAGTTCATATTAACACAACCGATTTGTCACTTCGACCCGTAAATAAAAACATGCAGTTTTATTGCTGACCGATACTCATGTTTCGTTTAGTCCATCTTTTATGGCAGTTTTCCACTAAAAGGACAGTTGAGTTTACGTCGTGTTTGTGTTTTCTAGAACCTGAAAAACAAAACAAAACTGAAACAAACCCAAAACTCTTGTTTCCATCAAGCGGGATTTTTTTTGTTTTAGGTCCTTTTCCACTGGTAGTCACGAGGAAGTCAGAACACAATTTTTCCAATAACCAACCAACATGTTTAGAGAAGATTTTTTTATTCTTAGTTATGACTGGTTTATACTGAAGTCCTTGGAAAAAAAGTAACTGTACAGTTCTGTTTTATTCGACATAAGTTCGTGTTTTGTTTTTATTTTGTTCGTTTAGTGGAAAACCGCTTTTAGGCATTTATACGAGCCACTACGTCTAAAGAAAAAAAATGAAATCTTAAACGTGGATACTGACAATCCAGATCTCTCTATTATTGGGACGTTTTCCTCAGAGCATTGCTGTGAAGTCGATTACGGAAGTACGAAAAATAACCGGACGAGATTTGCTGTGCTCAATATGAGTAATATTTAGTTACTCATATGTGTAACTCCTTCTGAGTAAGTCTGCTAAGTGGTGTCACTTGAGACGATCGTATTGAGCCCATGTGACAATTTTTGTGTGAGGACTATTTTGATCTCGATTTTTAAAAATTGTTGATATTCGACAATAGCGTGCGGCATAGAAATTTTGATTTCTGCTAAGTAAAAGTGCATCGTACGAAGTTGATATGTTGTCTACAGTCTACAAGTCACGGCAAGCAGCGACACGAGCTGTCTTTCTATCAGGAGTCAATAAGTGGGGAATCAATTTTGCCACGAATTCTAGTAATTTTTGGGACTCCCCCTCGTACGTGTGTTTGACAAAATCATCCATATGCTATAAGCCTGTACATTTTGCAAGACACCAAGTCATTTTCATAAGACTACAGCCAGGTGAACACAGACAATTGCAGAATCGGTCAACAACAATCGCCTGATTATAAAAACCAAAAGCAGGAACTAATTTTTTGAAGAATAGGTCAACTTCGAAAACTATATTGAGACATTGATTTAAGAATCCGTCAATTTTATGATAATTCCTGCATTTTGTCCAGCACAAATGTTTAAATATTCTGTTGCATATTGCATAGAACAATAGAAAATATCTTAAATGAAACACAATATATACTTCAAATCCATTCTGTATAATTCTGTTTGACTTGACATTTTTGACTACACAGGCTGCTGTCAGTCCCACATAGTCAGCTTCTATTATTTGCCATACTAAGTGTTTTTATTACTTGTCCTAATTTTTATATTATGTGTGTAATATTGTGATGTATGAGATCGATAATGAACAATTTCAATTATTTTGGCAGAAATATGTGAGTAACGACCTCAGTTGCAGCGAAGCTTTCGCAGAGATACCACTGTATTGAATGCAACCAGTTACAGAGGGCACTATGGAGCATTTCGGAGGACCACCATTGTCTGAAGAACGTTTTCGTCCACAGCGGGCTTAGAACGAACAACAAGAACGGAAATGAACATGATGGCAGGTTTAGGGGTTCTGATAACGAGTCCGCCCCCATAGAACTTAGCCCGAGAACAACAGATCAAAGATTCCTAGCTAAGGGAGTGCCAATGTAAGTTTGTAACTGGGGACGAACAGGTAGATAGGCCACGACATAACAACTCAAAAAGACAATGTACTTTAAATATCAGCGTGGGCCATGAAAGCTTTAAAACCATTGATGGTATAGTGTAGTAGTTCTGTAGACGAAATTAAAAAAAGATAGAGATTTGCTAGTGTTAAAAGTTTTGTGTCCTTTTCAAAAAAATATGTTTTTCTCAAATACTTTAAAATTCCAGACATTCCATCGATGAAATATTACCAAAATTTTTTGAGGGTAACGAGCATTCTAAAAATGTATTTACAAGTTTTCTATTTAATCAGAGTAGCTAATGCCTTTATCTAAAAAAATATATATAGTAATACGCCATTGACAAAATATCAAAATTACTTGTTTATCATCTATAAAAAAATCATTATTATTATTATTACATTTATACTTACACTCCATTTAATGGGGTCAATTTTTGGTGTATCGTCTTCAGCGGCATTTGGACTAAGACTACTTTCAGCACCAGAGGCACCTGATTCCACGTCGACTTCCATACTTTCAGACTTGTCCCACTTCTTTTTGTCATCGGATTTATATTTCCCACTGTAATGGCAAATAAATAAATAAAGTATACAGTTATAGTTCATAATACCGCTTAAACATGAAAAATAAAACTGTGTATGCATAAATTCTCACCTTTTTGAACAGGCCACAGAACAAAATCGTTTGTTTTTCTTAAATTTGGCCCTAAGGTCAACCGTTCCGCATGCTTCGCATTTGGCCATCTCTCCTTTTCCATTTAATCCGTTGCTGTAAGATGATGGTGAAGTAGCTCGTTTCTTACCTTTAAATTATTAATTAAAAATATTAAATTTAAATTAATTAAAAAAACTGTAATTGGATTAAATTACAATAAATCCTTTAGTTATTTCCTTTCGATTACATAATGTCATACTTACGAGGTGGTTCGTCCGATTCTTTATCATTAGATGATTGAGTAGGCTTAATGTCACCAAGCAAACTGCTTCTTGTAACTGGAAATGGTTCGGAGGATTCTTGTATTACAAAGTCTTCGATAACATGCGTAAGTACTTGAGGTTTGACCATGGCTTTAGGTGGGCACCTCTCTTTAACTTCTTCTGCTGTTGCTGCTATAGGAAAGCCATTCTCCGATATTATGTTAGAAGGTTGAGAAGGTACAGTACCTGGAATAGGTGTTGGTTGAACAACAGTGGATTCAACCCCGTTATGCACGGGTTTAATGTCTGTGTTTGTTGGTGTCTCTTTTAGTTCGGGTTGAGAAGATGTGGCTGGAATAGAAAATACAAAAATTAAGTACACAATTTGAAACTAAATCAATCTGTAATAGTCACCACAGTCACAACAGCACTTGGCTCTTTTACAATTACGAAACCTAAGTTTCATGTCCATTCAAAAATATATTTTATTACATTTCTGTTGCTAAAGTTTTCATATGTTTTTGACTTTAAAAAAATGTTTCAAATGCAAACTGATTTTCATAAAAAGTCTTACCTACAGCTTCTATTTTTTGTAATCAGTTTTTGGTGCTACAAGTAATTAAGCAGTAATTAAAAAGAAATACATATATACGTTTCTTTTTCATTACTGAACACAAGTTTAATAATCCAAAATTCCCGTAAATCATGAGATAATCAAAATTATAAATGACGCACTCTTTAAAGTTTAAATACTAGCTACCAACCTCTGAAACATTTATTACTGTTTTTAAACTTTCCCTCTCTTTTCCGGTTTTGCACGTTGCCAGCGTTGCCTAAACAAACGAATACGACGCATGACGCAACAAGAACAAATGGGTGCGACGATGTTGACGGACGAGTAAGGAATGAACGAATATGAACGAAAAACATTGAAAAAATGTTTCCATTCAGTGGTATTTTAAAAATATCTCAAAAGAAACTATAGATAAACAGAAGTAAACAGGTATAACTCAATTTTTAATTAATATCATGATATATTCTTATATAAATTAATTTTTCAATAATGTTAACTGTATTTTTTCCAACAAGAATGATTATAATGTTATATTAAAAATAAAGAAAAACAATTTGGTAAGTGATGTACTTATAAATTCAAGTCTATCGAAAAATGTTGGTATTTTTTATTTATACCGGAGAAAGTTTAGAAATAAAGTAAGGTTATGGCAGTTAATAATTAGCATGGGTGTCTAGACTGGTTGCCAATTTGTTTAAAGGTATATTATTTTCATTGTAGTTTTAAGAATAATACCATAGATCCGCCTATACCAAATCTGTATGATCAATGTTAGTATGCAATTTGTTTCTTGTATTAATAGTGAAAATTTATAGATGCTATGATTTTAATGATACACTCAAGTTTGATTATAGGATGTTTAACAAAATGAGTTAAGATTGTGCAGAACAAGTCAGTGAGCTGAGTTTTACCCAATCAAAAGGGTTTCGTTGAGTCATAATCAAGCGTGTGTCGTTTAATATTTTACTTTTGTCACTGAATATAACTCTCATATTTGTCAAATTTTGCTGCTACCATTATTAAAATATAAGAATTGTTGGCATATTATTGTTAAAAATGATTGATTCAGACTCAGATATTGAAGCAGTCACGGAAAACTTTGCTTCACTTCTTCCAGAAGTCAAAATTGATTGATTAATGGCATTAAGAATAGCCTTAATAAAAAAGTTCTGTTAGTGTACTTTGAAGGTCTAACTACACAAGCCCTCATCACTTTGGGTCTACTATTTTATATTGCAGTAAAATACAACACAGTTATTAGTAAGTATGCACATTTAGTTGCATTTTAAGGAAGTAAGTCCGAGGGAGAAACCAAAAGTTTTGAGTAGAGACGATGCTAAATTTTTACAAGAAGCTGTTGATGAATTTTTTTTTATAAACAAGGTTGCATTAACCATAGGACTTGCAACTTGCAAGTGCTTGTAGGTATGAAGAATTAACAAATTTATTTAATGGAAATGTTATTCTGAATACAAAATCAAAATTCAACATAAATTTTTTGTTATCAAGGAGAAATAAAATATGGAATTTGGTAAAAATAATAAAGTATAGAACTTTTTGTCATAGCAAGGCTGAGCACAATCGGTTTTTCGTTGGATACAGAAATGGCAAGTGTTCTGGATGGTTAGCATTAATATATAAGAAATGCCAAATAGAATCACCATCTCCTTTAACAAGCAGCTCAAATCAAGGAATTAACTGTATTTCTAAGTCTAAAGCTCAACTGTTGTCTTCTGGCTTTAATCTTACAAATTGCCACGATTTTATCGATGTTTATAAAAAGTAATATAAATAATGGTTATTAATTTGTAAAATGTTATTTTCCATTCCTTTAAAAAGAGTGTGCCGTTACAAAAAAAATGGCACTGAATACAGTACTGAAATTGTATGTGTAGGTAAAAAATATTCAGTGTGAAAACTATAGAGGACATATTTTGAAAATGAAGCAAATGAAAAAATTATGAATGAAATATGCAAAATAAAAAAAAAATAAAATGGGAATGACCAACTTGAAAAGGGTTGCAGATAGTGGCAACACACAGTCTGCCACATTTTTTGGGAAAGTCCCTGTTTTTTTTTTAAATCTAACTACATAGCCATAATTTTGTGATTTAGGGGATTTAAATTATGGCGATTAAGACTAACATAGCCAAATTAAAAAAAAATCCGTAAGTGATTTTCCCAAAAAAATTTCATGCCAAGGATTACTTACTGAATCATCATAATTATACAGGGTGTCCCGAAATTAATGTAACAAAATTTGGTCACGGATTCTTAAGACAAATTTAGGGGACCTGTATTTTTTATTTTTGCAAGTGCCCCCCTCTTTCGGAGTTACAGCCCCCTGAAATTCACCCCTAAGAATAGTCTTTTTTATATATCAGAACCTTGTCGTACGAGAATAACTAAATTTGGTACACAGGGGTTTATGACATGTGGAATCTGATAGTGCTATGCTTTTTGTCAGGGAATCTGCTTCAGACAATTTTTCGTGCCCACCCTTGTCTTTGGAGCCAAAAATAGTTGGTCGCAGATTTAAATTTCTTTAAAATTATTAGTCCACTAGAAAGTTATTGAATTTAGAAACTTTTTTGTCCCTTAATATTTTTTTCGTAAAATGCAATGTTTTCGAGAAAAATAGCAAAATGTGATCGAATCTATATCGTGATTTGCCATTTTTCTTGAAAACATTTCGTTTTACGAAAAAAATATCAGGAGACAAAAAAGTTTCTAAATTCTATGGCTTTCTAGCAACTAATAGTTTTTAAGAAATTCAAATATGCGACCAAATTTTTTTGGCCCCAATGACAAGGGGACCCACGAAAAAGTGCCTTAAGAGGGTTTCCCGCCAAAAAGCGTAGCACTATCAAATTCCACATGTCATAAAACCCCTGTGTGCCAAACTTAGTGATTCTCGTACAACGGGGTTCTGAGATATAAAAAAGACTATTCTTAGGAGAGGATTTCAGGGGGCTGTAACTCCGACAGAGGGGGCCACTTGGCACAAATAGAAAATAGGGGTCCCCTAAATTTGTCTTAAGAATCTGTGACCAAATTTTGTTGCATTAATTTCGGGACACCCTGTATACATATAGAAATTTTTTAAAAAAGTTTTAGAATTGTGTCTTAATTCTTATGGAGATACACTGCATATCTGCAATATTTTTCCTGGCGTCTTCCAATTTTTAATTACATTTTAATTTTACACTGTGAACTTTGAACAAAGGAACATCAAATTAAAATAACAATAACTACGAAGAAACATTAATTTTGTGAAAAATAAGAAACCTGATTGTGTCTTATCAGTTAATTATGAAAAAAAAAGTATATAAACATATGTTGCATATATTGTCGTTGATATTACAAATGGGTGTAAGCAACAAAAAAATAGATCAAAGTCTCTTTTTGAATTAAGTCCTCAAGGTAATCAAAGCATATATATTCACCTGTATTAGTACATAAATTAGTACTAGAATGACTTTTCTTCATATTGTTTTCCTGAGAAATTACTCAAATAGCGGTTTTGGTGCTTACTGCTTATGCCCCTTTACATTAGCAACGACAATATGTGCAGACCTTTTTGGAAATCTTCAGATTGCTATGAAAGTTTTCGCTGTGCACATAGATATATCTATTAAAAAATGGTATTCCCACTTCATTATCAAAATACAACCAGTTTAATTTTCACCTGCCCGACTACCAACACTTCATCACTAATTATTTTTAAACATAATACATGTATATCAAATTTGAATCTACAAGTTGTTTAAAGCACGATACCTGGGATAAAATTAATTGCAAAATATTTATCTTTAATTTTCCTTATTGTATTCAAATTCAATATTATTACATATATATTTTTTTAAATGTAAATTATCATTATGTTCACTGTTAACTCACCGTCTGCCACAGTTTCTTTAGTTGTTTCTGCTGTAGAGTTGACATTTTGTGTTGCACTATCAGCAGCACTGGCTTCAGTAATGCTTTCTTTAAGTGGGGATATTGTTGGTGGCAAAGGTACTTGTTGCGGTTGGGAAATAGCAATATTTTGTTGCGCTCCAGACTGTATCTGTTGCAACTGTGTAGGACTGGCGGCAACTTGCGGTATGGTAGCAGGTTGAGCTGGGGTGGCTTGAATCTGACTAATAATTGTTCCCGGAGCAGCCATCTGCTGTAACTAAAGAATAAAACAGACTTGAATCATTGTTTTCGCTTACTAACATTCCTTAATGTTATTAATATACTTTCGTTATTTAGTAAGTGATAAGGTGTAGTGTGACTAATGTTCTGCTAGGTTAGCAGTTATTTTATTGTTCTCTTAAATTATATAGCCAGTATTGTTTTACAATCTGATGGTTAAACAATAATAATGTTTCATATTTTGATTTCAATTATTACATAGATAACTGTTGTACACCATTATGACCAGTCCAAATAAATGTAGAAATGTTTTATGGATATACCATATTTCATATCTTTATAGGTACTTTTAATCTATGGGATGTCCAGAAAATAGGCCATACCCCAAGGACAATTTCCATGGATAAACATTAAACCAATTTAAATCAAATCATCGTAATTAATTTTGATATCTTAAAAGGTTATGAGTTTGTTTTTTAATTTTTCAAAGATTATTCCACCACTTTTCATGATATTTCAATGATACAATAAGAAGGTTTTTGAAATATATAAAGATGAACACGAGCTTACTTCTATCCTAAGATTGCCAAGAACACTATAATTCTTGTTTTTTTCGCAGCATTATTTGTCTCGTAGAGATTTTTACTTCACTTTCTGTAAAGTGATCATACAGGACCCCACCGGAAACCTTATGTAAATTGGATTTCGGTCAAATGATTTGAAACCAGGTGGTTTTTGTAGCTTTTGAGTGGTAGATTAAAAATGTCAATGGGCGTCAAGCCCTAAAAATTCATGTTTCAAAGTTGCAGTTCGCTGAAGCTACAATGCTTTAGATTTCACTACCTGCATAGTATAGTTAAAATATACAACATTTTTGCTCAATGCCCAATAACCCAATAAACTATCGCCGATATATCGAGATCTCTGACAGAAAGGGTTAAAAACGATATTGAGATGATCTTTCAGATCATGATCAGTACAATCGATTTTTTACAATCATTATCATACAATAAAAATCATAGGGATTGCCGTCTGCATTTGCGTGACCCAATGTGCAGCATAGGGGGTTACTAGATCAGACTTAGCACATCATATAGTCCTAAAAAGGGGTGATTTTCTGAGTTGAAAGATCCTGTCTAGCAGGAATATAATGCCTTAACCTAATACTTCAATATTATTTCCGTTCTCATTGCGTGCATCTGATGTTGAATTCAGCAAGGATTCATCGGGGTACTTGATATTATTGATGTTACGCAAATGCAGACGGCAATCGCTATGATTTTTCTTGTACGACAATAATTGTGAAAAATCGATTGTACTGATCGTGATCTGAAAGATCATCTCAATATCGTTTTTAACCCTTTCAGTCAGAGATCTCGATATATCGGAGATAGTTTATTGGATTATTGGGCATTGAGCAAAAATGTAGTACTTTTTTTCTTTTCTTTTGCGTTTGTTAATTTTAAGGCTTTTAGTTTCAGCAAACTGCAATTTTGAACCATGAATTATTAGGGTTTGAAGCCCATTGACACTCAAACACTCAAAAGCTACAAAAACCACCTGGTTTCAAACTATTTGACCGAAAACCAATTTACATAAGGATTCCAGCATGGTCGTTTTCTGAAAATTACTAACAAAAAAAAATATAGCAAAAAAGACAATTCTTAGCGATCTCTAAATCTTCTATATAAATAAAAATAAAATGTTCGTTGGTTAGCAAATCACTTGAGAACTGCTTTACCGATTTGGCAAATTTTTTTTAAATGTTCATAATAGTCCAAATAAGGTTTTTAGGGAAAGAAAAATTGGATAAGTTACCCGGAAAATGAAATATTCGCGAAAAACTGATAGTGCTTTTTTCTTTGGGATTTTTCTATGAACTCAAGACCATAACTCACGATTCGAACGATGGATATGCATTATTCTTTTTTGTTTTGTTCATTATGGTTCTGGAAAAGTTTTCAGGAAAAACAATCACAAACAAGTTTATTGAAATTTGGGCAGGACGTCTATTGGGTCAGCTAATTTTAGCTATATTATCTTAGAGAACTGTCTATAATAAATTTTATTCAAGTGTCTCTAAAAAGCGATAATTAGCTCATAAAAAATAAAGAAAAAAATGTTTTGTAGTCCCATCACTTGTTTAGAAGCAAAATTGTCAAATTTGTTCTAAATCAGTTTGTTTTCATCCAGAATTCCCTCCGCGTATTTATGTTTATCTTGTACAACTTCCCCAACAAAATAATAAATAATTTGTTTAAGGAAAGTTTATTATTTGGAAATTCACAAATTGTATTCATTAAGTTTAAAAACTGTTGATTCTTGAAAATTTGCTAAGAACTTTAATATAATATGAAGCAACTGAAAGTACAAGATTTAATTCTCTTTTCTATGTGAACATTTATGTTAACTCATATTAGATTTTTTTTATTTCAAAGCAACCCACCTGCTGTAATTGTTGCATGTTCATTTGCATTGGCTGCTGTGTAACTGCAAGGTTAGATTGCAGTGGTAATCCCTGTTGTATGGTACTAATGTTTTGTTGCTGAATTTGTTGTTGAACTTGTTGGGCAGCATTTGCTTGGGCTGACATGGACACAACAGGCATAATGGGTCTATCTCCGGCCATTTGCAGCTGTTGAGAAGGGATAGCAGGAATCGTTTGTACTAGAAATTTAATTATTATTTAAGTAACGATTCATTCAAAAGTTAATACTACATACTCATCATGGGTTTAGGTTGAATGTGCTGTTGTTGTCCTTGCTGCAATTGGTATTGCTGAATAGCTTGCTGTTGTTGCTGCTGCTGCTGCTGCTGTTGAATCTGCTGTTGCATAACGACAGCTTGTTGTTGTTGAGTCTGCTGTTGCTGTTGAGTTTTGTTTTGGTTAGCTAATTGCTGAGCTTTTTCGGCAGTCATTGGAGATCCTGGTGTCATAGCCATACCGTTCGAATTCATTACCAACATTCTAGAACAAGTAAAAAGTTCAGATGTCGGACTATACTCGTATTATTAATATAGTTTCAAGTGTACTGGTGACTTACTTATTTCCGACAATGTGATGTTGTTGCATATTCGAGTAAGGTTTAATTTGTGTTTGATTGGCTGCATCGGCTTTTGGAGCAGGAGATGTTCGTATCTGGGGAGCTTTTGTTCGGATTTTGGTGCCAGGTTTGTTGCCCATGGATGCCTGTAAATAATATGTCTATTACCAAATGGTAATAATCATTATAACAATTAAGTAGTTGTATTTGTTTGTGGACATATGTAAAATGTTAAAAAAATGGGGTAATTTAAAGTAACTTTTATTTAAACAACTGTAAAAATGAACAATTCATTATTTGTTATATGTTATTTGTTATTTTATTTGTGGGATTTCTTAAATAGTTTTTTGGGTATTTTACAGCTTTACAAATTATAAAATGGTGGAACAGAATTTTTTTTATTTGTAACAAAATACTCAAGAGAAAAAGAGAAACTACTTTTCATTGAATATTAAATTTAAAAGAAATCATTTGTTTTATTGTACAATATATAAACAAAATTCTGTTTTTGGATGTGACAGCAAAATTAGAAAAAAGAGAAAGAGAATTTTCACTATGGTCCTAAAATGTCTCCCGATATTTTGAGAATGGATGGAATTTACAAAATATAGGTACCTTTTTATATTAACTTTTTTTAATGAATAAAAAGGGAATGGACAAGGAATCCTGAATTGCACATGCCAAATTTTATGTTGTGATAAAACACTATAAATTAAGAAAAAAAGTCTTATAAACCTAGGTCGTACAACACTTTGTTTTTGAGATAGAATTTTTGAAATTTAAAAATATAATATTTATTTAAATATCTCTTAAACTGTTTGACATAGACTGATAAAACTTAGGGTAATAATTTAACTAACTGGGTAAAAATTCTTGAGGTAATCCACACTTATTCAAGTTTAAAATAATAGTTACCGAAAAATGGCTCCATTTAGGAATAAAATGGAAGATTCTTTTTTCTTAGAAGCACCAGCCAGAATTAAATGTAGTTATCCCAACTGCTAAATATTCCGTGATGTCTAAATTCTGTCAGTGACGATATTTCCCATCATCTCCCCTACTGATTAACATACATATTTATGTATCAACTTGGTGAGTTTTTGTCCATAATTAAGTCACAATAAGGTTCACTAATCTGTCAAACATTTTGAGACATATTTAAATAATTGTGATTTTTCTTTATTTTTAATTGAACAATGGATTTCAAAAACGAAAACGACCTATGTTTAAATAAGCATTTCTTCATTGTCTTTTCTGAGGTGTTTTGTCAAAGGGAGATAGTAGTATAAATTATTTTATTTCCGAAAAGTTTCGAGACATTTAATAATTTTTTATACTTACACTTAGGTTATTTGGACATTAATTTACAGGGTATTAGGTACTCACGTTTCAAGTCAAGGGTAGTTTTAAGGCAGTTTACTATTTTTTTTTACCTTGTCAAAATTTTATAAAAAATATTTGCAGACTATTAGGCAATAAATCCAGATTTCATACGAGAGTGCATTTGTAATTAAATAATAAATTTCATAACATTGAACAATCTCAATAAATCTTTAGTTATATTATTTTTATTTTCAAATATGTATTTTAATTGAAGTTTTGCATTTGTTTTTTTCCTTTCATTTCGATTGATTGATGTTAAACAGTGACTTTTTCTCTAACAATCTGAAGATAGATATTTTTCAAAAGGGGATAAATACATACAGTGGTGGCTGGTGCGGAGGGGGCTCTGAGGCGTCGCCCCACGTCCTAGGAATTTTCGCAGTAAAAAAATTTAATTTAAAATTTAGTTTTCAATGTCATCTAGATCATTAAATAGATTAGTTTTATGACACACATTAAAACAGAAATGTTAAATTTGAAAAACACTGAATACGTGGATTCATTGTAGCTCTCCCCTGAATCTGTAAAGTGTTTATACCGGTGGTCACGGTTACCATCGCGCATCAGTGAAAGACGGAGTGGGAGTGAAGTGATATTTACTATGTTTGGGCTCTATTTAGTTCGCCGTAACCAAATAACAACTGTTTGTGCTTTTTTTTCTTATTAATAGTATATTACGTAATAAGTGTTGTAAAAAGCATTTTACGCACAAATGGAAAAGTTACGACGCCGCGTAGCGGCGAGTGCGTAATTCTATGAGTGCGTAATTGCATTACACCACGTATTACGTACTATACTTTACCTACGACCACTACTTTAAATTCTTAAAAACACACCGTCTGCAATCAATGCAAGATTCCTATTACGTCGTACGGTAAAAAAATCGCACAGCTTGGTAAAAAAATCGTACAGTTTTCCTAGCAACCGCCTAGCAACGGTCAATACAAACAGTATTGTATTCGTCGTTGCTAGGCAGTTGCTAGGAAAACTGTGCGATTTTTTTACCGTGTGTAATAGGAATCTTACATTGATCGCAGACAGTGTGTTTTTAAGTATTTACAGTAGTGGTCGTAGGTAAACACAATATGTTGATGTGTGGTGTAAAATTTTGTTACCTACGTACTGTTTCTTGTGTGTTTTTTTAGATATTATAAAAGTTTAAAATAGATTTTAAAGACAGACAAACAGTAGTTGCAGTGCTATCTATTGAAAAATCAATGGCGAAAGAAATACCATACTTGAATGAAAAAGTTAATTAAAAATTTTCTTTCAGACAAAAACAGAAGAATGGACTCTCACTATAAAATAAAATCAATAGTACTTAAAATAAAACTATTATATTTGATTTTTTTTTTGTTTGAATACTTCCGCCCTCTCTGTTATAGAAGTCAAGAACCGCCACTGGATAAATATAAGAATGTTAATACTGCATACATTAATATCATGTGTAAGTTTAAAATATGAATAAATTTTCCAAAGCATTTATCATTTCCCATTAACGGACTATATCTTTAGCAAATTTGAAAAACAAAAAAAAATTATAAGAAGATACCCTTATTTTTTATATTCTATATTTATTTATATATCTATCCCTAAAATATTGAGAAACAAGTTGTATACTGTCATACTTACAGGTGTTTGTGCACCAATCGTCTGTGTTGAGACTGAACTGGCAGGACGGATGTTCGCAGCATTCGAGGGTAATATATTTAATGGACGATTGGTTTGTTGTTTAGGTTGTATATTTTCATTAGATGGTCTTGGTTTCGATATTTGTTGGACGGTTCCCTGTGTTGCAATAGTTTCTAAAATAAAAGTTAAAAATTAAAAGATAAATGTAGGCCAAGCTTTGTCTGCATGAAATTTGTTATGAAAAAATAAATGTTTGATAAAGTTAAGCTGAAAATCATTAAATACTGTAGCAGCGTTCAGAATACTATTTTGAAGATATTCTAAATATGACAATAATTAAAAATACAAGCTGCTGCTAAAATATATACTGACGAATAATGAAGGACCAACTAATAAAATTAAGTTAAAATATATCACTTACGATTTTGTTGGGTTTGGATGGTAGCAGCTTGAGGGTTCTGCTGAATGAACATTCCTGGGCCGGGAGTTCCATCTGCCTGAGTACCTCTAATGAAAATGGGGTTGGGTGTTAGCTGTAACGCCTGAGACTGTAGACCATTCGTGGTCCATACCTGCTGCAAACCATTTGCTGCAAATTGCCAAGGAGCAAATTGCATTGGCTGGCCTCCAGGCTATAAAGAAGAAAAGGAAACAGTCAAACCCTATGTCCACATTTTTTAAGCCTGGCCAATATTTGTTGGTGAAAATTTAAGCAAGAAGTGTAGTTGCTGTGGAGTTTGTGATAGTGCGTGAGATAAACAGCAATAGTAAAATGTGGGGAGGGGAACGAAGAGTTAATCTTTTAACTTCTCGAAGACTCTCAGAGATCTCCCGCATTTTTATAGGAAATATGTAGTAAATTTATTACTTTGGTTCACTTTCATCCACATGGTTAATAGAAGAGAAGTGACCATATTTCCACACAAGGTTTTACACGTGTAAAAAATTGAGGATTCAGTTTTTTGATACCAAAAAAAGCATTCAAGAATTTTCTGCTTTTAATGAATTAGGTGCCTCTTAAAAATCTGTTAATATATTTCGGAACTACTACAATACAAAGTATTTATATAAAACATGCTAGATTTTATATTTTCTAACTACCTCAAATTCTACAAAAGACTTTATTCTTACTTGTATTGGACTGATAATTTGGGCAGTCGGCTGTGTGCCGATCATAGCTTGGGAAACCTGTACACATTGTCCTTGTTGTTGTGTTTGAGCAACAGCGCCTGTACTACTTGCAACTTTTTGCATTTGAACTTTTTGGCCACCCATAACCTAAGTAGGACAAACTTTAGAATGACAATGTTTTTAGCAATTAACAGATTAACAATAGTACAATGCGCATATGCTTCTGTATCCAGTGTTAAGTGTAGGTTTTAAAAACTAAAAATGTCTACATCTAATTATATTAATGTATAACTATTATTATTTCTAAATGTGTAACACAAATGATTTCAGATTAAGCGGAACTATTTAAAAAGTTATACCTGTCGATGAATTTTTCTTATGAAATTATTAAAACTATACAAATACATTACTGCACTATTCATTTTAGTTTTGATAGAAGTAACATGCATCCAGAATGTTTTATTGTATTTAAGCCACAAAGCATAAACTATAATGCTTTGTGATTTAAGCAAAACAACCATTATATAAAGTACATGTGACATAAGTACTACAAATGTCAGTGTAATGTAATTAAATTTGGTAACTTGAAGTGTAAATAAATCAATCACAAAAATGGAAATAAGAATTCATGCCATGTATTTTGTATTATTATTGCTATTAATTTTTATTATTATTCCTATTAATCTTGAAAATATTTTTTGTTATTACTTATATATGTTACTTGTCTGAATTACCTTATGCATTTCCTGAGGTTTTTGTTGAGCGACCTGTCCATTTCCTTGGGAATGATTGGGTAGAATGTTAGGTTGAGAACTGATTACACCCAGCTGGCTAAACACTAATGTTTGCTGATTCTGGGTAGTAGGTATTGTTGGAATTGTTGTGTAGCCTGGGAAGGTAGCAGCTTGGCTGCCTTGCAAAACTTGTTTTCCTTGAGCCGTTGTCAGCATGTGGGGAGCTAGTTGGTTTCCTTGGAAAGGTTTAGCAATAACCTAAGACACAATGGACAAATAATAGTACTTATATTGCTAACTGACTCCAAATAATTTTAAGTATAAGTTTAGACAACCTGAATTTTTTGAAAAAAATGGACACGGATAATAAACATTCCCCTTGCGATTTCAGATTTATATTAACATAGGTAAAGAAGGAATAAACTTTTACTCGAAAGAACAATTATACATCAGCTGTATGCTTGGAATACCATAAAACCGAAAACAAACAATATTTTACTGGCAATTGAACATTTGCACAGGTTAATTGTTTCTGATACTATGATATCCATAAGCTTTTGTTTTAATTGCGGCTTTAATTTTTTGAACCGTGCTTCCTACAAACTTCTGACAATTGTACTTTGTATAGTAACAGGTTGCTGGAAAATGAAATTTTCATCGATGAACTGCAACCTCCCTAACCTTTTGGAATCACAATTAATCCTTTGGCGATGTTTACGATCCACTTCAGTCAGTGCTTCACCTTTAAGGTGGATCCACAAGACCAATTATCACCGACTGATGCTTCAAAATATAGATTAGTTGCTGAAAATGATTCTGTTCTACACTTCCTCTATCAAAAATCATGGGTAAAGAAACGGCTGCACTTGTCAAAGGAAAACTTCAAATAGGTTCATATTCAATGATTAATCCAAATTAGTTGGTGATAGTTTTGTGTCCAACTAAAGAAAACTATAAAATTTGCCAAACAAGCAATGATGTAGGGAAGTACTTCATCCAAAATATTAAGAACTTTCTTCAGCAAGAAAGTTAACATGGAGAAATATCAGAATGTACTGACATAGAACCTTCCGTCTAATATTGAAAAATTGCATCTACATGAAAATTTCATTTCCCAACAAGATGGTGGATCCTACCACACATTGAGATCACCTAAAATTTGGTTTGAAAATGCCGTTAATATAAAGAATGTGTAGTAGAAAATAAAGAAGCATGCAAGGAAAAATCAAAGAAAAGAACTTGATGGATTTACACACTAAACTGCTGGAAATTTGAAATAATTTTTTGAGAGATGCATGTCAGAAGCTTGTGGGTAGCATATTTTAAAGAATTAAAGCCGAGATTAAGGCAAAATGCAATGTTGTGTGAGCATTTATTTTCCAGCAAAATATTTTTAATTTATTTGAATTCTGTTGACTTTTATTGCCAGTAGAAAATACTAGCTTTCACTGTAAGAAGCGGATATCCTTGCAAGTGTTATTTTATCGGTGTTTATTTGCGGATGGTGTAAGGCAGTGTTTTTGTCAGCAAACCAGTAGAAAGCTACCCCTATTGCTTCGGTATCTCTGTTTATAAACACAAACCAGGTAGAATGTTTCTTTTTCATGTATATTATTTTTTGTTAAACAAATCAGGGTGTTTAAACCTAGAATTTCCAGGGTTCATATCATTTAGACATCAAAATATGTTTGTATGTTCTTTGAGTTATACTCTTTCTTTCTTAATCTCATCATTTGAGATATTATCTATTAATTCTATTACACCAGAATAGGAGAAAATTACCTGAATTTGTGAAGGATTGATGCTAGGATGTAACGCAATATTACTTATGTTTCCAGGCATCAAGAGCTGCCCCTGGGTGTTGTACAATTGCGATAGATAAGCCGGGTTTTGAATTGGCTGCTGGATAACTTGTACAGCTCTTCCATGACTCCAGTCAGTACTGATCTGTTGCTGGTGGGCTGCTTGACTTTGTTGCAGTGGGGACATCGTTGTTATGGTGGTTGTTCCTGTTTGAGCCGCAGCCAGGACCCCTCCTTGGGCCTGAATTACCTGGCCCTGTTGGGCGACTTGCTGATGCATGGAAACGGTGTGCTGTGGGGGTCCCATTGAAGTAGCTACACACTGAGCACCTGAGAATAAATAGCTGTTTTAAAAAGAAGTAAAAATAGGTAAAGTAGATTTTGAGTTACAAACAATAAAATTTCAGTGTGCCGGTTAAATAATGTACATTTTCGAAAAATATCCAAATTAAAACTTTATGACAATGTGTCAAGAAATGTTCAAAAATTTGTTGAACCATTTGGTGTATGTGTGTATGCAGAGTATAAAGTTTGCAAATATTTTATTGAATGGTGATGCATCTCCAATTTTTCATAAACTATGATAATTTTTGGTTGGATATCCTCAACGAAAATGCAAGTAGTTATAAAATAAATATCGTTAGATATATACAGAGTATTCATAAATGATTATAATCCATGTGAGCAGTAATTTTGTTTGGAACAGTTATTTTATTCCCTTCATGTTGGCAATTAAATTGTGGTAAAATTAAAACAATAAGATCAAAATTACATTAAACCCCAATATTCTATTTCATGGGATGTGATTGGTGTAATTTTTTTACAAGATTCCCTTCGATCAATCAGCGAATGCATTTCAAGCGTAGACGTAACGGTTTGTCACTGGTCCTTGTAAACATTTATGAAGGTTCTGTTTCTATAGAAGATACAGGAATTTCAATACCACATATTTATATTAAGATTATAAGAAACTTGAAGGTTAATCTAGAAAAATAAAAAGTTACCAATGCTGTACAAAATCAAAACAAAAAAACTGTCAAGTTTAACTTGCAAGAATTAAGAGTTTGAAAAACGAAACAGTTTACACTTTGTGGTGTTGGGATGATTTGTCTTTTTTTGTGAAATCGCAAGCAATATCTACTTCCTTTGTGTGAAATATTTTTGGTTAGATAAAAATAATTTATACAATTATTGACTGATACTTTTGATACAAGGGATATTTTTTATAGTAATTCTATATTCTTTTTCTTTTTGTTGAAACAAAATATCCACTTAAATAAAAATATACTGAAAATGCCACAAGTATATTGTTACCTACCAATATATAAATTCTGGAGATGCAAAATAAGTTTTTTTTTATATATACATATTAAGTACATTTTATCTGAGTTAGACTGAAATATTCATATAATTAACGATGTCAAAAAAAAATAAATAAAGATTGTGCAAGAATGGATGGAATATGTGCATTTTTATTTTTAAACACACCAAGTCGATAGGCGTATACAAAGTACATACCTATTACTTACAAAAGATAAGTAAAAAGAAAAAAATGGCCAGAACAAATACCAAGTTCAACAAAACAACATCTATGTATGTGCATGAACGAGATAAGTGATGTGCAACGTTTTCCTGTTCTTGCACCAGTCTGTAGCAAAATTGCAGCACAAAATACATTTTTAAACATGTATCTTTACTAATCTCATTTTTCAAATAAACGGATTTATCCCCCTTCTGCCTTAATGAAGTTGCTTGTATTAAAAAACAAATTACCTGATGCCCCTACCGCAACCTGTTGCATGTGCGGGCTCTGCGCCGGTACGAGGGCCTGTTGTTCCTGTTGCTGCTGTAGAGCGACCTGTTGCATCTGCTGTTGTTGCACAGCCTGAGCCTGTGCCTGCGCTTGAGCCTGAGCTTGAGCCTGAGCCTGGGCCTGA